TACTGTCCCTATCCTTACAGGTGCCCCACCTAGCTCTCTAGCAATGCAAAATCCTTTAGGAGACCATGAAAGGAGTATACACCGACGTTTCTCCTGGCATACATGTCCAGTGATAATGTGAGCGTTTGAGCTGGATCTAGCTGATATTACTTAGCGACACCCAAGCGCATGAGACCTACGATCCTTGGGGCTTTGGTGGCTTATAGCTGCGGTGGGGGCAAAGTGGTTTTGATTCTCGCCTTGGGCAAGATGTGTCCCGGCACAGGGATTATGGAAGTACAAGTATATGGCCAACCATCCGGGCCTATCAGTGCGTGCAAACGGAATTATGCCCTCAATGCTGCACGCAGACTACATCCGTCCTGGGATGAGCGCTTGGCGGGTATTCTTCCCCTAGGAATTAAGGTTGAGGCTGGTAGGGATGCTCCGCAGCTTGTTAGAAGTAATCGCACGGTACCGTACGAGTATATGGCGCTTTATACAAATAGAGACATAAGGTGTAGGTGGCCCCCAAAACACCGGCGAATACGAGTAAACGCTGGTTATCAACTAAAAAGAGGGGGGGAACATCGGGTATCCGGATTGAAATATGAGCCCACGGTGTCCGATTGACCCCACCCATTGTCCTTCAGGTGGTCACACAGATTCTTGTTCTTGTGGTCTGGGGATAGATTGCATTCTGGTATAGTAATAAGGAAAATGTCATGATGCGAAACGACCACGAATCTTTGTAGTTAAAGTCAGCTGAGGAAATCAGGAGACATGATTTCTTCTCGTTCTTAGGTAGGGACAGGTTATTGATGATGTGAGCTCTAGGCTCGAAGTACCGGTATCTGTACTAGGGGGTAACTTTTTCCTGCTACCCCATATTGTCGCTGGCGGTTTTGATATCATGAAACTATAGACTTTTATAATAATTAAAATTTACCAAGACAGTAACGGGCCTCGGCTCGGAATTGCGCATCATAGAAATCCTGTGCCCGGGCACGTGTGGGGCTCCGATGCGATGCTGCAGAGTGGGATAGAGGTCCGTCCAGCTTATCATTTCTCAGCCTGGATATGGCGGTTCTTCCTACCGGTAATAACCCCCCCTGAGCAGAAAATTTGCTCAAATGTTGTTCTCCCTATCTCTACGGACTGGGCACCGCGGACTATTTTTTAGGCAAACAAACAACAAACGCAAGCCCTCTTGGAATCCTGGTCTCTTCAAACATCATACCACTGAGGGCTAGACATTTGCATTTCTGTTGGTTATTGTCTCATCCAACTAACTACGGTACGGTAGCATTCTCGATCCCGCTTGGGGACCGGGCCCCTTGGCTAATTCTCTTATACCGGTATTTTTCGTGGCGGACCAGAACTAATTCTCATTCTCTACAGCACAGTGCCATATGGCCTCCAGTTCTGTAGAAAAGAAAAAGAAAAAAAATTTGAACACGGATATATTCCTTCGGGTTGTTAGCGGTGCCGGCATCTGTTTCGAGTGCCGGTAAGCTTCCTTACTTTCTTTTCCTAAGAATACATTTTGTGCCGGTATTAGAGGCGGTTGTGGAGACCTTGCATGAATGCCGAGCTGCCTCTGGTGCACAATCCCGTAAGGTATGGTGAAAGAAATGATGAGAAGGGTGAGCCGGTCAACCTTGTTCATTTCATGATCGAAACCCATTATCACACCCAAGCCACAACTTAAAGGTCTACAATTGCCTAAATTCCGTGGCTTCTGAGACAAATAGGGGCGGTTTTGGTGCTTATGGTCGGTGAGTTGCTCATATATGGCATTGACATGGGTGACTAGCCGACCTTTCTTCCTTTCTGCCGCTGACCGAGGCGACGACAACACACGAAGACCCCAGAGCGCCACACTACAAGCAAACAGCGAGGTGCATTTTGGCGGGCCCCTCTCTACTCCAAATCCCACCCCCACGGGGAGTTATGGTGCGATGTGGTACACCAGCCGCCAAGATGGTATGAGTTTTATGGCTATACATGAAGTTTCTAAACAGAACGACTGACACAACTAAGTAGCAATATGACCGGCCGGCAAAACAGATATCGATCATCACTCGTTCTGGGGCGGTGGGATTACCGGTGCCGGTATTAAGACCCTCCAATTGGAGAGGCCGGTAAGCCGAGAGAACTAGGCTCGAACAGGTTTCGGCCTGGAAGAGGTCGGGAAAGCGAGAGCTCAGTCGAGTTCAATGAATTTCGTGGGCCCCTCAGGCGAGTATTGAAGGGTTCTAACACTCGTGAAAACCCCGAGGTCATGGGGGTCAGGTCAAATCCCCCGAGAGAGATACCCGAAATCAATCTTTCTGGTCTAAGATTTGCTGCATTTGCAGGGATACGGTGATCCCAATTTTTCCCGGTTAGGCAGAAGATGGGGAACGTCCGACGGTGCCATGAAGATCAATCCGGGGATATTTTCTCGCCATACCGTATGATATGGCACACGCTGTTTGACTCTTTCCGGTCCGATTTTTGGACGCCCTTAGGCCTCTAGGAAAGCACACCCTACAGGTGAAGCTATTGATACCAATATTCATGGTCAGTGAGATTAACATAAAATGATATGTGGCGATTCACTAGTACTTGCACTCGTAGCAACAGTTGGCGCATGGGCGGTCTTTTCCTGTCCATGACCCCCGTCCCCTCTTTCTTCTCCACGGCTCCTCCGGAACCTGGTCCCTGGAGCTTGGTCTACGGACCGGTTGAATCGGTTTAGCCGGACTTTGGAGTGGTTGAAAATAAATTAGTCGGATACGATAGGTGCTTCTATCGTACCGGTGTTTATGATGTAAGCAAGTACGGTAACTTGTTGCTTGGCTTGTTCCGCAGCTTGATCGGTGAGTTGAAGTTGGACACCTGGGAGGGAAATTTCCAAATACCGGTAGAGCGTCCAACCTCAAATCGACCGCTAGGATGAAGTTGGGCTTGGCAGTAGGGCGTTGAGGGAGAGTTCTGTTACGAGGGTCGTGGCTTGAATTGTCCTTTAACTTTGTCACTACCAACGACACTGACCCCTCCATTACAAATGTGCATTAGCGCGCTGTGGCTCAACCTTGCGCAGTCTCAGGGACGGTCTTAAATATGACAGATGCATAGGACCCGAGTATTGTAGGATAACACGCCTCTGTCCACACTTTTGTTTACCAAATGTTACATGTAGTGTGGTTGGGGCTAACATGAAACGCGAGATTTATATCCACGGGACGCCAAGTCCCGTGCTGTGCCAAGCAGAACTTTAGTGTTCCGACCTTGCACTTGTTACAACGAAATAAGCACAGTTCGGATTCACGACCGTCTTAAGATCGAACCTCCTTATCCCCCATCTCTTTTTTACTTCTTTCTGGCCTTCACGCCACATATCGCCGAACAGCTGAGATTTTGGAAACACCAAGCTGATTTCTTACCAGTCTTTTTTGATCCCTGCCCCAAGGATACCGGTATGTTTCTCAGTGTAGGAGTTGGGGAGATGCCTATCCCGGTAATAGATAGCCTTTAACAGTGGGGAGGCATCGGTCAAGTGGCCGTCCGGATAGAGCTCACGCCGCAAACAGAAAAGAAGGTTCTCCATTTTCAGGTCTCGTGCCGGTTCCGTGTGGGCCGATTGTGGTAACCGAGACCCCCATCCCGTACGATACGGGTGCTGTTCAAAGTGTCGTACTGCATGCTGCGCATTGGCAGTGTGGTTTTCCACATTGGTATTGCTGTATTGAGGGTAACCGCGCCCCAAGTCGACGGTTTAGAGCTTCCCTTATTCTAGTGGTCGCGGCAAACTCAGCTCCAATCCGGAGGCTTGAGTTTAAACGAGCACAGCAGTCTGGTTAACCAAATACGGCATCGGTATTCACACTTCTGGACAATCCCCACATTTTCTCCAATTGGAGGGATTTCTCAACGCAGAGTTAGGGATCGCTATGGTCTATCTGTGCTGAGTGTTTACTGCGGCAACAAGCAGCTCGGAAAATACCGTAGGGGCGTTCCGGGCCTTCGGGGAATTTGGCATGATCTTTGTCTCCTCAAAGGTGGGATAGGGTGGGGTACGGTACTGCTGTTTACCTCGCCAAGAGTCCGCCATCTCTCAGTCCAGCTAACTGAGCTTCGAGCGTGTAGTACTCGTACTGTACTCGAGCACGGCACCGATGGTACCGGTATGCTGTTATCTCTGGAGTAGGAAGTGAACCCTAACCTGTGACACACTGGTGCTGCAACAAGCGAGAATTAAGCAAATTACCGTACTTGTATCAAGCTTGCTTGAAATCCCCCTCCGCAACCTATCCATTCTGAAGTGTCGGCTTCCAACCCGATCGTCCTCGATTGGGCTCGGTGTCACCAGAGCCAGTCAGGCTTTTTTCCACATACGGACATCTAGTCTGAGCTTGATAAGGTTTGCCTGGATGAAAAAAACTGACGTACGGTACAGTATTGTACTGTACATGTTACCACACCGTTAAACCTTTTCTTTTTTTTTTTTTTACACTTTGGAGAAACATTATGTTAGTAGCACCCGGTGCCATGCCACGCATCCAGGAAAGACTAAGGGAACTTTTTTTTTTCAACTCTTTTCTTGACGGCAATAGCCATATTAAAAGGCTGCGGGGCCCCACACGATATCCAACTATGCTAACATGGGCTGGATAAATACATACCGCTAGCCCCAAGAATACTACTATTATACGATCCAGTTCAGCACCAGCCTTCGAAGCTTGAGCGTCGGCGACATAATTTTACGTGCTCTTCCTGGTTCTTCCTTCTTCCCCCCCTTCGGTCTTGTTATTTGCTCTCTCTTCTCCCCTCCCGGATCTCTTTTACTAGTGCGCTAAGGTCCCTCTTCTTCTACTCCTTATCCTTCACGGGCGCCTGTGTGCGGATTGGGTCTTTTACCTTTGAGAACAGCTTCTGTCCGCTCTCGCCGAAGGACAGCCCTAGGAAGGTTGTCCCTTGATGATTTGTTCAGCAGATACCCTCCACTCGAGGGGAGCCACATAATATCCATAGTGATGAACACAGGTACGGAAGGATTGGATGCGCACGGAGGTGTCGGTTCGAGAGCGCCGCTCCTGAAAGCTTCGATAACGGGAGTGGTGACTCTGTCGTTTGTTACCGTGCTGCTAAGGTTCGTGGCGAGAGGATGGATCGTGAGGAAGGTTGCGATGGACGACTGGCTTATTGCGCTTGCTTGGGTACGGATCACGATTTATGAATGCCGGGGTTGGAGAGGGGATGGGGGGATTGTCGGTCGGTTGTTTTGGAGGGATTGTTGCTGATTTTTATTTTTTATTTTTATTTTTTGATCGTATTTAGGTCCTATCGTTTGCGATGTCACTCACGATATGCTTAGGTATGTTGCGTATAATTCTGAACCCAGGGGGTCTCGATATCATGCTGTTGTTTTCTAACCCGATCATGATTAGCTACAAGATTCGGTCTCGGTGACCATCGTGAACTTCCCCAAGATGACCTCGCGGCCCCGCTGGGCAAGGTTCGTCGGTTTTAATTTAATTTAGTTTCCTTTTCCTCTGGACACGAACCGAGATCTCTCTGACATTTTTCGATTCTGAATCTAGGCTCGGTTCGCATACACGCTACTCTATGTAAGTCTTCTGAGACTTTGCCTTATTACTCCTTTATTTTTGCTACTGAGAGATTATTTGACTAATATTAGATTCGTCTTAGAACCCTGCTCTCATGGCGACGAAAACGTCGATATTGGTCTTTTACCTTGGGCTTTCGAAGAATTACAAACTTTTGAGAATCGCCAATTGGACGACGTTGGCAGTCGTTAATGTTGCTGGACTTATCTTGACCTTGCTAATTGCTTTTCAGTGCGAGCCTGTAAGTGCCCTATTTGTTTTCGGCATTCGGGGGCGTGTTGGGTGGATTCTATTGACAATCGACGATACCCAGGTCTCGGCAACATTCCGATCTTCTCTTCCTCCCTCGTTCAAATGCATACCGACATATACAATGCTCTATGCTTCTGGCCCCGTAAATCTAATAACCGATCTGGCGATACTCGTTCTACCAATGCCGATTTTGACTTCTTTGAGGTTGCCTAAGAAACAGAAGATCATACTGATCGTGTTGTTTGCGGCTGGGGGGTTGTGAGTGAATTGCTTTTATCTTTTGTGGGGCTTGCCCCGAGTGGTGAGGGAGGGTTGACATTTTTCGTGTTGAACAGCGTTACAGTAATTGGTATCGTAAGAATTTATTACTTCGAGAAGGCCGTTTCCACCGGCTTGCTGAACTGTGAGTCCCCTAGGAACTTCCTGATATGGCCTCGATTAACTAAAATAGGGGATGGCTCACTATCCTTCATGTGGAGCTCAATTGAAGTCAACGTTGGAATATTCTGTGCCTCAATCCCCATGATAAAGCCGCTTGCTGCCAAATTATTCCCAAGCTGCATCGGCGTCACGAGTGATGGCTCCGCGACAGCGGGCTTGATCCGCCCTTCTGCAGCCCCCACTGGCAGTAGTGCGGGCAGTCGGCCACCAGGGTTCTTCAATCTTCCGGGGCCGAAGTGTGCCTTGGCGCTCGATTTGCGAGAATCTATTCGGCCGGTGTGCCTGATTACTGGGCTGTTCTTCATTTGGGGGTTTGCATATGGCTTTGTGGATACGCTGAATAAGCGGTTTGAAATGCTTATTGACATAAGTACCGAGCAGTACGTTGGTTTGCATGCTGCTTATTTTGGGTTCGTTCCTCTTCGCGGTGTCTCCCGGGCCTAATTTCTGACGGAAGCAGGGCATATGCTATCGCACCACAGCTGATCGGTGGGCCGGTGCTTAAGAGATACGGGTTTAAGGCTACAATCATAACTGGGTTGACTGCCTCCGGGTGTGGTTGTCTGGTTTTCTGGCCCAGCGGAGTGCTGCGAAGTTACGAGGGGTTTTGCACCTCGATGTTTCTTGTGGGGATGGGATTGGCTACGTGGGTACTCCCCCGGCGATCTCCCTTGGGTTAGGCTAACTCCTCCTCAGGATTGAGTGTGCTGCGAACCTATTCATGATCCTTTGCGGCCCTTCTGAATATAGTGAGATACGATTGAACCTGGTGCAGGGCGTGCAGCCAGTAGGAACCTTACTAGCGTCCATCTTTGCGTCAGAAGTGCTGCCGGCAGTGGCGGAGAACCGGGAGGGATCGCCAGCAGAAACTTGGCTCATCGACGCCCAATGGATATACCTCGCCTTCGGACTATTCACTTTCATATTAGCATTCGCATTCTATTACGCCGACATCCCCGAAGTGAGGGACTCAGACTTTGATCCCGAGCAAAGTAGGACCGACAACCCTCCCAAATACCTCCTGACAAGTGAGTACGGCGTCGGTTTTGTCTGGGCATTCCTGGCGCAGCTATTCTACGTGGGGGCCCAGGAGGTGGTGATGTCCTTCTCAATCATTTATCTTGGCAAAAAAATCTACGAAGGCTCCTCGCACATCCGCACGGGGCAAGGCCTATTCATTGCCGGCCGCTTCATCGCCGCGGCCTTGATGTTCGCGGTGAAGCCTAGGTGGATCCTCCTCGCCGCCCTCTGCGGCGGAGGGATATTCTCCGTCCTGGCAATGACCGTCTCTGGCGGCCAAGTGCATCTCGGCATGCTACTGATGGTCTGGCTCTTCGCATCGTCCTGCTTCCCCACAATCTTCGCATTATCCGTCCGCGGGCTGGGCGTATACTCCAAGGATGCCGCAAAGCACCAAATCACGGCCGTCGGCGCGGGTGCGATATTCCCGGGAGTGTATTACGCCGTGGTGCACAATAAAGGCGGGGGCCCTTGGGCTGCCAAATACGCCATGTGTGTGCCGACGGCATTGTTTGCTGGTGCCGCGACGTATCCCATCTACCTATGTATGAGGTCTAAAGAGCGGGAGCGGTTAAGGCGAGTGGAGAAGGGTACGCACCCGTCAGGCCCGTCTAAAATGGGTGGGACGACGGCGGTGGAGAGCGAGCATGTTGAAGTGCCGGGGGATTGCTAGAAGAGAGTCCACCCGCTCAATGTTTCGGTGTTCGAATTTCTTCTCTTTCTTTTATATATTTGAGTGGGGTTGGGTGTTGGGAGTTTGGCGTATGGGTATTCCACTTTATCATACTTCCCTTCCCTTCCCTCCCCCCCCCTCCCCATCCCTGAAAGGTCAGGAGGGGGGAATTTCTCGACCTTAAAATATCCCTTTCGTAGAAATGGGATTGTTCATGTGCTGGTAAAATATATGTATTATATTAAATTTTGTAGTAAAAGAATAAAATGCGACGCTGTGAATGCTTAGCCCCGCTCGTTCGCACAAGTCCTCTAGATACAGTACCGGTAGACAAGGGTCTACCTTCCCGCGCTCCCTGCACAATCAAAGCGCTAGCCTGGCGTTTGCATGGGTAGCTTGGCACCCCCGGAAACTAAATTTACCCATCCCGTCTACCGCGCCATCACCGCGCAGCGATGTACTCGACGAGCAGTCTACTAGGCAGGTATAGTTTTTTGAGTAGAGGCAACCGGGGGGCTAATAATTGGCCGCCGGGCCCAACGCTGTAGTCCGTCCCGCCGACACACCCCGAAGAGGTGCACGGTCACATCTCGCTATCATAGAAAGAAGGAAGGAAGGAAGGAAGGGCTTGTATCCAGGGTAACCTTCACCATCATCATCCCCTGATAATACCGATATGTAGAATACTAGCTCCCGAGGGCATGGTTTGTGCTCACCGACCGTCGGGTAGTCTTCCCACGCTTCTCTACATGTAGGGGAATTTGGGCACCCTCCGTGTACCTACAGGACTTGTATTACATGATACTTGTTAGGAGGGGGGGGGTCTCGGTGTCCGATTCTATGTTTCTAGAGCTGGATTTCCCTCCATCACGCTGAAATTTAAACTGTGGTGGTAAGCAATCGGTTTTGGCATATTCAAAGAGGACAATCGAGTGATATTAGGTGCATCAGGTCAAGTTTTAGACTTTGCTTTATAAGTTGGGTCCTATGGCACCGGCTTGTCATCCATCATTCACTGTGAATTATGTTTGTCCCTGGAGGTTTGCGTGCCTTATCGGGATATCATTCACTGGGAGGCCATGCGCATGTGGGGTTGTGCTAACTGCGTTTTTAGTGTCACATGCTAGTTAAATTTAGTGTTACCGGTAATCATTGTCAGACTGGTTATGCTGATAAAACAAAAGGAATCCACTGAGGTAGCAGCTGTTGTGGTTTATCTCTGGCGCTGTGCAGCGGAAGATTCGACGCTATCAGCACTTGCAGGATTGATGAGGTAGATGAGACGGTTTTGGGGGAGTTCGGTGTGATACTTGTATTTAAAGGGAACAATTGCTCTTGGCTTGGACGGCATTGTGCTGTACTATATAGTACCGTAACTGGGTATTTTTCCCTTGCCCACGGGGAAACATGGAGTTTTGTGGTGGCGAGAGTCGACGGCACAGTACGGTACTGCTACTCTATTTTTGTCTTTGGGGGAGGGTCTGCTCGAGTACAGTGGAATGCCGGTCGTCCAATGGCCACTGCTTGTACTAGTACTGCATTCGCATCTCCACGCTGGGAATTGGGAACCCCTTTCGGAATAGCCAAGTTACTGCGAGTGTAGTACCGGTATGGTGCAGGCACTACAATCGAGCCCAACCGGAGCCTCACGTTAAATCAGGACTGCTAGCGCTAATATGAAAGTGAATATACCTAACCCGGGAGTCTCTCTGCTAACTATTCTGAAAACCTTTTTCTCCTAATATAGCACAAGAGTCACTGCCCTCTAACCTTCCAATACAAACCCTGAAAACCCCACTGGAGTACAGAGAAGACAGAGAAGACAGAGGGGGGGGATCACTCAGTAGATATTTTCCAATTGTGAATGAGGAAAACACTGCGGAAAGGGTTTTTTTTCTTTGGAAAAAAACTCTATTCGTAGCTATAGTTCTGGCGAGTTGAAGTGTCCGTCCACGTTTGGTATCATGAGGGTATGTAGGCTCTCAGGTACTGTACTCGTACTCGCCAGGGCCGCACAGGGCCCGTGGAAGCAGGAAGGGCGAGTGGGAGCCAATGCTTGGCTGAGACATGGACAGAAGACATCGGTACCGTACCGTAATACCACCATAATAGCCTCGATAGCTTAACTTACCTGTATCGGCCCCGGTAGTTGCTTGGCTGATAGCCGCGGTGAGCTAATATCATGCTCCCACTTTTGTCTCAGGATGCGGCGTATGATAGCAGGTGGTGTCTAGCGATCCCTTGCGGTGCGGCACCGGTACCACACCATATTTCCGTCTTCCGGTCAACGCCGGACAGCGAGCGCGGTGTCCCGGGCCGGTACCGAACGGAGGACCCTGGAAACAGCCCTGCACGCTATTGTCCTTGGAACGTACGATGAGGGTGGGTAGCCGATTTGACATACTTCGGGTGAAACAAGTGGTGATACGGCACAAGAAAATTTAAGCTTATGCGGTGAGATGTGTTGGGGAACCTGTTAATTTTTTCACAAGCCTTTGCACTTCCCCATTCTTGTGAAAGGTCAAATTGAGCGGTTTTGGTGCACCGAGGGATTAATAGGGTGAGATGTCGGTAGTTGCGTAATGGGGGGGCTCACTGCGCTATCAGTGCGTTATCATGAATTGGTGGGAATAACGGGGTGGAAGTGGGCCAACTTTGGTGCCCTGAGGGGCCACGACCACTCGTGTGGGGGAGTTGATCAGTGAGCAAACTGTCGTGTTGGTTGGGTTGTCGTCAATACTAGTAGGCTACCTTCTGGCGAATGAAAGATCGCGAACCGTTCAAAGAAACTTCGCCCCCTTGCAAGCACGATCGGTAAGTTTGGCTGTGTGTCGTGTGAGAAGTGACCATTCATTGGGAATGTTCGGACTGATAATACTCATACTATCCCCGGCACAACACAGTGCTCATCTGCATGCACCCTGCTATCCCGGATGTCCAAAATCCAGGGATTTCTGCCTGCGCAGTGCGACATGCCGATACGGTACGGTACAGGGACTGCGGAGGGCGAAAGGTAGTGATTTGATACTTTCATTGCAAATGCCAATTATGTCTCCCCGTGCATTACTGTACCGTAATGGCCTCTATCGTTACTGTCCCGTCGGGTATCGCTCTACTGAGCGGTGGCTGATGCTCCGGGGCGCCCCGCAATGGTAGATTGAGGCCATAGAGACTCCCGGGGCCAGGCATTGCCCTCTGAATAGCTGCTCCCCATACTTTTTGTTGTCAGGTTTGCCTATTTGGGATGTAGCATTTCCACCAAGTCCGCATAATGAGGGACATGTTTCACAAAGCCAAGAAAAATGGCAAACGTTTATTGCAAAATGTGCCCGAGATCCGTCTTGATGGTGCGGAGAGGGATGACAGGGTGCACGGTACAGAACTTGGTTCTAATTACTGTCTCTGCCTCCTACAAAAGAGGTTAAGCCTACTCTGATACAGAACCTGTAATTGGATGGCGTTTTGCGGACACAACGCCGTTGTCTGACATTATGATCAGAGCGAAAGCCAAAACTTTGGTACTTGTACTCGTACCGGTAATATCTTACTCAGTAGGAGGGCCCACCGTACCTTTCCTCGTTTTCAGAGTCTTGGCCTTTTTGGGTCGGACCGAAACTGCCAAGACTAGGTGCCGAAAAAATAAAAATAAAAATCGGTTTTGTACGTACGAGTAGGCATCGGGTTGGTTCTCGGGGTAGGTTTTGATGTGGTGACCGAATATGATAGCTTGTATCATACCTGTATGGGTAGGCTAGTCGTTCAACTATACCCTTGCATACTATGACCGGGACTGGGAATCTTCGATCATCTAACTTGGGTGCAAGTATTGGGCGCTCTGATGCCCTAGTACTATCGTTCTATTAACTATTATATACCACTTGAAATGTCTTCTTTTCATACTACCAATCTGTGAATGGCGCTACAGCTCCTATTCCACTTCTAAGCTCGGGCTCCCCTGATAGCACCCGTGCTCGTAAACATTGGTTAATGGAACCGTGAGGACACATAAAACCAGCCCTAGGCTAAACACGTAATGAGATACTGGTGCTCGTGTACTCGAGCACTCAATATCTTTGCTCTCTGGTCTACTGGTATGATGGATGACTAAGGTCGCTTCATCGCATAACTTTGGCTCGGCCGGGCAAGCACGCTATGCAATCCGTGGCCTGTTTGCCTGCTGGGTGCGGTAATGGTGACGCATTCCAGACTAGCCATGAGTATGATACCGTCACCTCTCAACATCAGGGATAAGTCGAGAACCTGTACGAGTGCTGCCAATAAATATATTCGTCACGTGCCTTATCTAAGGGCACATCGCAGCCAAAAGGTGCGCCGAAATTTTCTTATCGGCCTCACGTGACGAATATATCTATCGGCCGCACTCGTATGATACGGTGTCCTGAACTCCAACCCTACCGTATCCCTTCGTCTGTATTCAGGACCCCACGCCCAAGACGAATAGGGAGATAGTCTCGCTACTTGAGGGAAAGACTAATTGACTCCTTGGGAGCCACAAATTCTATTGGCCAGGTCACCATTGAGCAACCGCAGCCATCCTTTCATGAGCCTACTCGTAGTTTTTGAAGACAGGAGGACAAAGTTACGCGCTAAAAGGTCGTGAAACTCGGGAACGAACGAAGGGATTGGCATCCTTCCTAACAACCTTCCACCCGCCCGCACCACGCACTTGTGATACTTCGAGGTTACCCCATAAGAACTGACTTACCTCCACGACAAGTTTATCGTTACGTGGCGATATGGCTTCATGCGGAGATCTGCCCTTGGGAGTTGAGCGTCCTGAACGAGTAGTTGAGGAGCAGTTGGAAACCATTGCGGAACTGGTGGAAACCGGTGAAGAAATCAGGAAATCCACAGAGGAGCTGAGGAAATCTAATGAGGAGCTGGAACATTCCCGGTCACGCCTCGATGGGGTTATGAGAAAAATTGTGGTTCCTACTGTAACCGCAGTTGTATTCGAATCATTCTTCAAAAAGGCTATGGGGTTGGCTGATGCTGACCCTCTCCCCGACGGCCGTGCCGACATTATTCGTGGGCGTCAGAACTTGTTCAACGATTTTGACCTTGAGAACGAGCAAGAAATTCTTGAATTTGCAGACGCCGTGAGCCCTGGTTTCCTTCGCTTATGTGGCTACTTTGAAGCTGCGGCGATACCCTTACCTATATAAAGAATTCAACATTAGCTGGGCCATATGGGTATAGATATGAGACATACTATGCGATGCTAACGTTGTCAATTAGTGGTCCGACGCGGTGTCAGCAGGAAATACTGCAGCCCGTGAGGTGACCGGTGATCGGGTTGTGCTAGCCCTCCAATACTGCGAGGGCAATCTCCACCGTTTGCTTCAAAAGGCATTCACTTTTCTCTGGGGAATATCACCAAGTGACTGGCACAATGCTACTGAAGCACAGAGGGCATTGACCCTTCGGAGTTGTGGGTCTTGCTCTTTTCCTTAATGTGTCTTTGTGGAATCACTAATAGAGATGAAATAGACCCCGGCCATGAACTCGGCCTTCCCGGCTTGTATGATGACCTCCTTCTGATCCCCCTTCCACCCTTCTCCCGCCCTTCCCCTCCATCCCCCCCTCATCGCCGTCCTCGTTGGTGCCTATAGCCTGATGCCTTTTCCGATTCCCCTATTGAGTTACGGTGTACCCGGGTGGGATAGTCTTGACGTCCTCGTAACCTGAAATTTTTGTGTTACTGATTTTTTCTTCTACCAGTATTAGATTACAACTTTATAAGTTTTACTCCCCAAGTCAGATCCTACCTTCTGACTACGAGTAGAGGCTCCCGGCCTTGCGGTGACCAACAAATGATGCAGCGGTACAATGAGAGGGCTCGCTCTGGAGTTTGGGGTTGTGCAAGAAGGGTACGGCAGGGGCTTCGCTATCTTGTTCGTCTTGTTTTATAAACTAGCGGCGAGGACAGGAGGATACGGGAAACAAAATAAAGGCATCCCAATCCCCCCATCGATAAAACTACTGATATCCGTGCCTCACCGTGTGTCCGCGTTCCTCCGTGCACTTGGGCTATAACAAAGGATGGGGATATCTGGGGAACCTTCTCCGTAAGGCGCCAAAATTCCCAGAACAGTAAGCTACATTTTAAATAATCCTCAACGTTCCCACGATTTCTAGAATCATCTGCAATATCCTATCGTCCCTCCACATCATCTAATACCGATACAGTACTTTCTATGGCCACGCCTCCGGGGGAGGTATTCCAGCATAGTCTACAGTATTTAAGATATAATCTCCTCCGCCAAACCCGCATAATGCGAAATACTTTTTTCACAAAGCTAGGGGAAGTGGTGAAGGTTTACTACATAGCTCGCCGAACTCCACGGTAACGGCGTGAAGTGGGGCGAGGGGGTGCCTAGATGGCTTACTCGAGTAGTGCTATTTGCCCCCCTTACTCCTCACTGAGGGGAGTTAAACTTACTCAGGAAGTACGGGGTTGGTGTTAGGAGCGGTGGCTGTGGTGACGTGTGTGCAGTCACCGTGCCGCTCGCATTTTCCGTTCAATACATTCTGAAATTGCAAAAGGTTTGAGAGATTGATGTTATGGTGCAAAATTCTCCAACCCCCCCCAAAGCTACCACAGATTAATGAGGGACTTTTGGATGCCTTATCATGCTGTATTGGAAAGCTGATGTTTGGAAAATAGGTGAGGCCTGGCCATTTCCCGTGGAAAATGTGTGAAAATGCGCCAAGACCAGCGTACCGACCGAGCTCTCTTGACAATTTCCCAGCTAGTTCAGATACAGAGTTCTGGGGAGTGGAAGAGCGAATCCAAGGAATTATTTTGCATATAATATGATAGATGAACATTTTGTTTGGATTTCCTAGTCGGATCGGTGGTTGGAAGGCATGAACGTAGCTGTTTTCGGTAGAAAACCTTTACCCTCAACATTTTTATTTTATTTACGGCGTCTACCAGGTTGGGTTACCAGCAAGTAAATTTAGTAAGCAACAACGATCTCCACTCGTCAACAATCCCGATTTACTGTACAGTACAATGTCATGAATATAAAATATTTCTCCAACTCCACCAGTATGATACTTGAGCACAGTACGAGTACATAGGTGTGTCCCAACAACCCACTCTACCTATTTTGCTTCGTTCCCCCCGCCCCCCACTAAGCTCTATCCTAGCCTCGGTTTTATTTTTCTGAATTAATATTTTATCCCCCTTTCCAGCCAAGCAGTTGTACTACTATTGACTTCCTGGTTGACGAGGCAGGGTGACCGTTACCGTGCCAGCATTTCGAGTATTTAACTAGAGCCTGGGTATAATAATCCAAATTTACATAGAGGGTTGCTGAATGTGGTAATGGTTACGTTGTTCAGACTACGAATAGTTATGAGTACTGTCAGGGCATAATCAGGGATGATGGTAACGGTTGCCTGAGAACTGTGTTTGCTATAATAGATAGTGGTTTTGATTTTTCTGAGCATGACGAAGCAAGGCAATCTAGCTATCATAGTACAGGTTGGGAAATCGGAAAAGGGGGGTAGGAGGAATAAGAAGGATGAGGGAGGAGGGCGTGGCAGCAATTGTTTTCCTGATTTTTCGCATGTGTCTTTAGAGGAGAAGAGACAGCCTGTTTTCTATAGGTGAATCCATGTGAGAGGTTCACCGTGGAAGGAGGTTGTTTTGGCTTCTTTTGATCTTCGCTATTGATTTCAATTTCATCGTTACTTGAGAAGTGTTTTTTTCACTCCTTCTTTGACTCATTCGCAGGACCTCCGGTGTGAGTAGAAACCGAGAGATCCAAGTGTTTGTCAATCCCACAAAAGAACGCAGAGGCCAGAGAAGCCCTCACAGTACCAATATGATACTTGAGTGCCGTCAACTATCAGCGTCAGAGGTGGACCTAGTGCCAGTATGATATTATATATACAGTATGATGAAGTAGCTGCCAACACCCGCATACTGCCACCTGTTCGAATCTTGAGCTCTAAATTCACCCACGTCCTCGCTACAGACCTTCCACCCACATCTCCACTACAGGCCTTGCATCCCCATCCCCATTACAGACCTTCCGCCCTGATGGCATGATCCCAATAGTCGGATATAGGGGAGACTGTATAGTGTTGATGAGATGTATGGGGGAGCATGGGTGTATGTGTTAGGGCTGTGGGTCCCTAGTTAGTCAGTGTGACTATATTGTGTGTTGTTAGGGGAACCAGCCCTGTTAGTGGTGGCTTCCTCTCTTGTTTGTATTTAGTCTTCTTTCAGACCTTCCGATTGACGACAAGAACGACTCCTCTCTCCTCACCTTCGGTCTTTATCCGCACCGTGATTCCGTTGTCTTTCCTCCACTGCGCCGTGTCCCGCCATCACGCCCATCCTCCACCACGAACCTACCGTATTGCAGGATTACTATGGAATAACTATCATACCGCCGTGACAAGTTTATTGTTGCGTATCATCGCGCCTTCACGCGGGAATCTATCTTCGAGAATAGAGCGCCTGGAAAAAGCAGTGGAGGAGCTTAGGAAATAAGGCGAGGAGCGGAGTAAATCTATTGAGGAGCAATCTGAAGTTGAGGAAAACCCATGAGGAGTTGAGGGAATCCCATGAGGAGCTAGAACGTTCCCAACAACGCCTCCGGGGCCAGCTCGGTGTGGTGGTGAGAGTAACTCTGATTCCTATCGTAGCCGCGGTTGTACTAGAATCCTTCTACAACAAGGGTATGCAGTCGGTTCACACTGGTGGCCCTGTCGGTGACCGTTGCCCCGACATTATTCGCAGCCATCAACACAGGTTTAATGATTTTGGCCTTTCAAGTGAACAAGAAGTGCTTGAATTTGCGGAAGTGGTAAGTTTTGTTTCCTTTACTTCGATAGCCAAGTTGAAGTCAGACACTTAGGGCTTCGATACTTATACAACATATCTAATTCCAACTCGGCCAAGCGGGTATAGGTATGGAGCATACTGAGTGACGCTAACATTGCCAATTAGTGGCCCGGTGCAATGTTAACAAGAAATACTGCGACTAAGGTGACTGGCGATGAGGTCGTATCGGTCCTCAGTTACTGTCGGGACAACCTCCGCCGTGTGATTGAAAAGACATTCAGGTCCCTGTAGGGAATATCCCCAAGCGACTGGCACAATGCTACTGAGGCACAGAGAGCATTGACATTCCGAAGTTGTAAGTCTTGCTCCTTGCCTAAATATGTCTTGTGGAATCACTAATAGAAATGAAATAGGCTCAAGCTATGAGCTCGACCTCCCTGCCTAATAGACGTCTTCCTCCGATCTCCACGCCTCCTCCCCTTCTATGCTCCAATATTTTCCTATCACTATGCCTGCTGGTAGTGTTGTTGAAATTATAATGGCCAACGCCGTTCCCTCTCCCTACCCACGGTCTCTTGCCTTTCCTGAATCCCCTACTGAGCTTAGACGTGCCTGAGTGGGATTATCCCCTAGTTACCTAAAATGTGTTAACGACTTTTTTTCTCCTATTAGTCTGGAGGTTAGCAAGCGATACTGTGGCCCTTGTAAGTTGTCTGTGATGGCATAGTTCCAATGGCAGGATCTGATGGAGAATGCGTGGTGTTGAAAACGAGATGTACGGGGGAGCTCATGTGCATATGTTAGGCGGTGAGCGTGAGCCCCTAGTAGCTGGTGTGACTGTCTTGTGTGTTGATAGGGGAACCGACACTGCTAGTGGTGGCTTCCTCTCTTTTTCTGTATTTAGTCTTCTTTTAGAGCTTCTGAACGAAGACAAGAACAACTCCTCTCTCATTTTTCGGTCTTCGTCCACACTGTGATTTTTCCCTTCCCCTATGCCCAGTCCGGGAATCAGGTTGGCGTTATTCTATATAGCCAAAGTTATTCAATTGAACTAGTGCAAGTGATCAATAGGCTAAAAAGCAAAACACATCACGATCGCAGAATTCCCCCTTGTGGAATCAGAAAACATGCCAAAATTCCCAAAATGGAGGCCTAAAGAATTACTCTCAGCATAATCTACCGTATTTTGAGATATAACATTTCCACGGCCGGGGTCGCCAAATTGTGGTTAATCGTTGAGGTTTCAGGAGCGTCGGACTTGGTTACTTTTACTTCAGAGTTATAGTAATATACAGAGAAGTTTCTTCATACGTGTCTTTTCCCCGTCACCACGGGTGCGTGTGGAGGAATGGGGACATGTATGGAGGAAATTAGAAGACCTGTTGTAATCCATGGAACGCTTTAGCTCAGTTATACTCATACTCCCGGCATGAACCGTGTCAAGGTTTTCGCGGATCACGTAACTGCGCGCAGTTGCAAATCTTGCGGCACGTCGTCGACGTGCCTCTCAGCTCTACGGAAGATCTCAGCTCAACGCAAAACTTATCCTCTATGTAAATTTCAACCACCCAATACCCGCCCCTAAAACCAACATCTATTTCTAAAAATTTCTCTAACGCCAAGGGTAGGATCTAAAATTCGTGTGAGAGGTTATTTGAAACTGATAAACCAAATACTGCGGCTATGGCACTGGAGCCTTGAGTACCAGAGAGCTGCTTGAGAGGCAAGTGGGATGGCCGGCAATTGAAACACAACGTCAACCAAGAGGGCAAAAAGAGGCATATCGGGACCAGAAAAAAACAGTGGAAACCAGTTTATAAGCAACTTAAACAGATGTTCAAGTAGCAGAATAATTAATTTAAATAATCCGAAGAGGTGGGCGGTGTTAATGCGGTGGATAATTTGAAATCTTGAGTTGAGCTGAGATCTTCCGTTGAGCCGGGAGGCAGGTAGTATGATAGACGTGCCGCAAGATTCGGAACTGGGCGTAGTTACACAGCCGGCGAGAACCTTGGCACGGTTACCACCAGTTCAGATAGGACGTCGGACAAGAGAACAAAGGCTATAACAACACCTTTCCCGCACTTCCTCCATACTGCCCGAGCCCATCTCCATCTCACTACCTATACAGCTCCGCAGTTTATCCTCCCCAAGATTCCAAGGTCCACTTAGCCAAGAAAAGCGGTGATGGTTTCCTGCAAAATCCACCGAACTTCATCGCAATGGTGCGGGAAGTGATGACGGGGTGTTCAGATAACTTACTGCTAATTGCTCTCTTTCCTTCCTAATAAACAGGGTTAAATTTACACAGATACATTACTCTACTGTACTCGTGGTTGGGGGACGCCCTGTCGACTGACCGTCATTGCACAATACTATGATCTAAGCACAAAGGGTGAATATTGGCGGTACGGTATGCAGTAGCGGCCTTATGGGTAAACATCGTTCGAATACAGGTACGGGACTCGAGCACGGTCGCAGAAATTAATCAGTAGGCCAGTCAGGTAAAAAAATACCCAATAACTTTGCTATCTAATTGAATGGGAGTGGAGTAAGGTCGCTATCCCACAACCTGACTCTGGCTCGGCCGAGCAGGTACATCTTGTAATCCATTACCTGTTTGGCTGCCAAATGTGGTAATGGTTACACTGTTCAGACTACGAGTAGTTATGAGTGCAAGTACCAGTGTGATACTCGAGTGCCGTCAACTATCAGCGTCAGAGGCGGGCAAGTGCCAGTATGATATATACGGTATCATGAGGTACCGGTACCTTCCAACACCCACCACCTGTTCATATACTGAAGCTTAAACCCACCCACATCCTCACTACAGACCTTCCGCCCATCTTCCACCACAAACCTGCGGTATTGCACGATTACTATAAGATAACTGTCATACCGCCGTGACAAGTTTATTGCTACGTGTCACCATGCCCCCACACAGAACTCTATCCTCAAGAATAGAGCGCCTAGAAAAAGCAGTGGAGGAGCTTAGGAAATCTAATGAGGAGTGGTGGAAAGAAATTGCAGAGTCGAGGAAAACCCATCAGGAGTTGAGGAAAACCCATGTGGAGCTAGTACACTCCTAACAAGGCCTCCGGGACCACCTCGCTACGGGGATGAGAGTAAATCTAACTCCTTCCATAGCCCCAGTTGCGCTAGAATCCTTCTACAACAATGGTATGCGATTGGCTTACACTAGTGGCCCTGTCCCTGACGGTTGCCCCGACATTATCCGCAGCCATCAACACAGGTTTTTAATTATTTTGGCATTTCAAGTGAACAAGAAATGCTTGAATTTACGGAAGTGGTAAGTTCTTGTTTCCTTTGTTTTGATGGCCAAGTTGAAGTCAGACACTTAGGGCTTCGATACCTATACAAAGTATCTAACTTCAACTCGGTCGTATGGGTATAGGTATGGAGCATAATGCGTGACGCTAACATTGTCAATTAGTGGCACGGTGCAGTGTTAGCAAGAGATAGTGTGACCAAGCAGGTGACTGGCGATGAGGTTGTATCGGTCCTCAGTTACTGTCGGGACAACCTCCGCCGTGTGCTTGAAAGGGCATTCAGGTCCCTGTGGGGAATATCCCCAAGCGACTGACGCAATGCTACTGAAGCACAGAGAGCATTGGACCTTCTGGAGTTGTAAGTCCCGCTCCTTGCCTTAATACGTCTTCGCGGAACCACTAATAGAAATGAAACAGGCGCTCTTCCATGAAACTGAGCTCCTCAGCTCGTAGTCTTCTTTTCCGATCCCCTACTCCTCTTCCTTACTCCTATGTTTTTCCTGTTATCATGCCTACTGAAGTTATAACGGCCAAAGCCGAGCCCACCCCACCTGCCGCCCGCAGCCCGAACCTCCCGCCATGACCAGATGTGCCTGAGTGGAAAGGTGTCCTAATTACCTAAAATGTGTTAATGATTTCCTCCCCCGGTTAGATCAGATTAGACGTTAGCAAGTAACATTATAGCACCCGCAAATTGTATGGCATTATTCTGTAAAACCCAAGTTATTCAATTGAACTAGTGCAAATAATCGATAAGCTAAAAAAAATAAAACATAATATCATGATCGCAGAATTTCCCCTAGAGGAATCAGAAATAGCATTCCAAAATTACTAAAAGGAAGACCTAACGCATTTCTCTCAGATCCACATTGTGAAATGCTACTCGACTGATCAGTGGGCAGTGCTCCAAGACGCCTGAGGCTAGTATTTTGAGGCCATATAGAGACCCCCAGAGTCGAATTTCACCCTTTGACGACCTTCCCAACGCTCTCCGTAATCACGGATGCATGTGTAATACCCAAGACACATCTTAACCCCCCAGTCAGGAAAACCTGCGAAGGCCCCCCCGTAAAACCCACCGAGTCCCACAGCAACAGCGCCAGGAGGGATAACGGGGTGCCCATAAGGCTTACCGCTAATTTCTGCACTGCTCCTCAAACTACTAAAGAGGGTTAGAATTAAACAGATACAGGAGGGGTTTATAAAGTTAAAAAAGGTGGAAAAACTGATATCTCCTTTACCATCAGTTTACTTGGCTTTTCCATATAAACGTGGATAATATACGCTACAATACGATACTATTTTTTCTTCCTTTTGAGCACGTAGGGAGGCCAAGTGGTCAACAACCACCTTAGTATTCTGGTGACACCAGAACTCCAAAGGAGAACAAGAAAGGATACTAAAAATCAAAGGAAAAAATCAGGAAAAAAACACCGAAGCATCACAACCCACACCGAAAACAATTATCCACTATCTATACGGGAGGGCGCTTGGTTTGATGGATGCTAAGATGTCCATAAGACCTAAGTACTCTACCTTTAGTTATCTTGGTGAACGCAAATATGCCGCCAAAAAGGTGGAAATACTACCGGGTAACACAATAAAGTAACGTAATGCAGCTCCCCGTGCTTAGTCGTCACTAGAAAATAATCTTGGATTTGAAAACCCCTGATATACTGGCTATTGGACGACGTTTTTGGTGAAACAGCCGCTATTGCATAACACTATGAGATGTGCAAAAAAAGGCTGGATTTTGGCAGCATGAAAAAGCAGCCGTCTTCATACATGACGTTCAATTACGATTACTAGTACCGCACCCACGCGGGCAGACACAAACAAATTAGCAGGCCAATCAGGTAAAAGGATAATCAATATTCCATCTCTCTGGTCAGCGGACAGATGACTAACTTAAGGACGCTATTTTACAACCCAGGGCTCTTGCCCGGCCGAGCAAGTACACTCTGTAATCCCTTGCATGTTTGACTGCCAAATGTGGTAATGGTTACGCTGTTCAAACTACTCGTAGTTATGAGCACCAACGCATTACTCTCACCTCCTAATGTCAGAGGCAGGTCGAGTGCCAGTATGATATATACTCGTACTGTCTCATAGAGTAGCCATCAACACCCGTACTCCCTCACCTGTCCGGATCCTGAACTTCAAACCCACTCGCATCCTCACTAGAGACCTTCTCCCCAGCCTCCACCACGAACCTGCAGTATTGCAGGGTTACCACGGAACAACTACCTCTGGAATATCGCAACCACCACCAAAGGTAATTAACTTCCATCTGTACAAAAAGGCACCTGGTTTTGAGATCTAGTTAATAGATACCAAGACCCTCTCTCGCCCGTAAGACAGGCAAATTATGCCTATAGTTACCCCAGCGAACTCAGATATGCTGCGAGACAGATAGAAATGTTATTAGCTAACACAACAAAGCAACCTAACGCAACCTAACGCAACCTGCGCTTGTTACATATCTCTGGAAAATAATATTAACTTTGAAAACCCCTTCTGTACTTGATGAACACCACTTCGTGAACACGACTACCATTGCATAACACTATGATATAAGCAAAAAAAAAAAAAAGGTTGAATTCCGGCAATATGCAATAGCAGCCGTGTTCGTGAATGTCGTCTAATTACGACTACCGGTACCCTACCCACGCAAGCAGACACCAAAACTGGTCCGTAAGCCAATCCGGTAAAAGAATACTCCATATCCCCGCTCTCCGGCTGCCCGGCCGACGACCGAGGTCTCCACAGTGCACGGCTCTGGCTCGGACGCGCAATTACTCGTACACCTTGTTATCCATGCTGTTTGGATGCCAAATGTGGGAATGGATACGCCCTTCGAACTTCTCATGGGTATCGTCAGCTCTCAACGTCAGGGGCAGGTCGGGTAGAGCACCGGCACAGTATATATACTGGCTACAAACGCCTGTATGCCACCATCACCCGTCCCAATCCTGAACTCCAACCCCACTGGCATCCACTCTACATGCCTTCCGTTGACTACCACACACCCATGATAGGGTTACCCAACAATAACCTAAGGACGGGCATATATTGTGGCTGCAGCTGTACTAAAATCATTATACAAGAAGGATTTGCGGTTGGTTCACACCAGTGACCATGCTCCTGAAGCTGTGCAGATACTATTCTCAGGGGTCAGCACAATTTCAATGATTCTGGCCTCTCGGATGAGCAGGAGATGCTTGGATTTGCCGAAGTGGTAAGTTTCGGATTCCTTCATTCTCATGGCTAGGTTGAAGTCGGGCACCTAAGGGGGTAATACCTATACAAAGTATCTAACCTCAACCCGGCCATGTGGGTATAGGTATGGGGAATAGTAAGCGATGTTAACATTGTCAATTAGTGGCCTGGTGCGATGTCAGGAAGAAACGCCGCAGCCCATCAGGTTACCGGTGACACGGTTGTGCTGATCGTCGATCATCGCCAGGGCAATCTCCGCCGGGTGCTTCAAAGGGCATTCCGGTCCCTCTGGAGAATATCTCCAAGCGACTGGAACAATGCTACTGAAGCACAGAGGGCATCGAAGCTTCGGAATTGTAAGCCTTGCTCCTTACTTTAGTACCTCCTTGTCACTAACGAAACAGGCTCCGACCATGAACTCGACCCCCTCGGCTAGTACTGTAGCCTACTTCCTCCCATCTTCGATCCTCCTCCTCCACCGTTCTCCATTATTATTCCTATCGTCATGCTACCATTGCTTTCCCCTACCTACGGTCTCTTGGCTTCACCAGGCTCCTACTAGGCCCAGGTGCACCCGAGCAGAACGGTCCGGATGCTCTGGCATCTTACTGTTGAGAAGGCAGGATTCGAACCGGTGATACGAGTTATCAAAAATGTTTATGTGATATTTTTATTGTTCTTTTGTGTTGTGTCAGATGTTGAGTTATTACTCGACTATGGTACTCGAGTACGGTGCAGCCAAAGACCTGAAAAACATAACACATTTTTCTCTACCTAGGTATATGTCCTATGTTTACGGCCGAACCTGGTCCGGTAGAACAAAGTTGTGTGAGAGGAGGGGTACTGTCCCGTACAGTACCAGTACTCGAACACATACAGTAGGTGGATTCAAATACCGGCACAGTACCAGACGAGTCCAATACCCTTGGCGGGGGATCGACGGGTGCTTTCAGAAGAGAATTCAGAATTGGAATGCCGGTAGTGGTATCATACGGTAGAATTTCTACGGTTCAGAAGGGAATCCGGCACTGCACCATTGAGGCACGACTGTGCTCGCCAAAATCAAGTCTATCCTCGACCCTTTCCTACGCACAAGCAACGGCTCCACCACACCCCGCTTCCAAGAATTGCACTTACCTCTCATAAACCCCTCAACACTACTAGTGACACTGGTTTGTAGAATATTTGATCTACCAGCGGCAGATAGCTATCAATCAACATAATTATCCTGTCGGCAAGGCCGCCACGGGAGAGTGTTGCCACAGGTAACCATGGCTCGGGGACAGAGTCTTGATTTTGGCGAGTAGGTACAGTGCAGCATGAGAGCATATCGTGAACCAATGGAAAGGGAGCGGACGTGCTTGATGGATGGTTGTGGACTATCGCATTATAAATTCACACAGCCATGGAACACCCACCCCGATCACCGATTCTCCAAAGGGTTGCCATGCTGGAATTTCCCAAAGAATTTTTTTTTTTCTGGCTGTGAACTTTACCTCTTCCAATCAGACTATCAATCCAAGTCCCTATTATACCTGCCGTGGCGTTGAGAGAAGAAAAGATGAAAAAAAAGTGAGGAAACTGGAGAACTGGCAGACCGATAACCTCTGAGAAAGCGATCGTGTACTGTACAGTGCTCGTTGCGGAACCGGCACTTCCAATGGCGGCTACGAGTATGGTGGAGGGAATTGTCTATTTTTCATCTGTTTGAGGCAAATAGTATCATAACGTACCATATCTCGGTGAAGGCACTACCGGTATCAGACGTGGGGGTTCCTCCACAGTTGTGCCATCACGGCACCTTGTGTCCTACCTTGATAATTGTTGGAGTAACACTCGAATAATTCCTCCCCACCCTACCCCTCCTGCTGGTCTACTGAGTCTACCGGTACTATTTTACGGTAGTCTACAATTTTATAACTCAACCGCCAATCAAGCTAGGCGGACGGCATCCTACCAAAACAAGCACCCCAAACGCGCCCAGCCAATTAGTCGAGTGCTCAGGACCCCAGGCACGTTCTGGTAGCCCAATCCACCATTCGTCCAGACGTACCGTATGAGCACCGGTATGATACGATACCTGGTTATCGGTTCGCAAGATATGATAGGGGTACCGGCACTCTAACCGTAGCGGCTATTCCCTTCCCTTCCCTTCCCATATTGCGCAGGTACAGCCAGCAAACCCCATGACAACATCGAAACCGCAATCGCACAGAAAGGCCTCGAGAAGTCAGGCTACTTTTTTCGCTTCTTAGTGCACTTTCGTACCGGTACCGTAACCTCGGAAATTGGGGATTGGGGGGTTCGGTTAGGTTTGACAGGGGACCCGGGTCGAGTGTTGATTCGTGGTTTGGATCAAAGAGGTAGGTACAATCACCGGTAGGTAGGCGGGCTGGGTGGGATTTTGGTGGGGCATGGTATGGTACAAGTATGCTATTAGCGTCGTGAGGGATTTTCAGAAAAAGATATCACGGGGGCGGGGAGCGGGGAGCAGAGGAGGGAGGGAAGGAAGGGGGCACTGCCTCTTTCTCTGGACGAGCCCTTTTACATGAACCGCTGCTGCTGCTGCTTTCCTGCTCGCTCGCTCCACTCTGCCTCTCCATTCTCTCCATCCGTCTATCCGCCTGTCCGTCCGTCTTTTCCAGTCCAGCTTGCCAGTTTGTCGGATAGAGGGAAAGAGAAAGAGAGAGGGGGGGAGAAAGCGATCGAGCGCGTGAGTGTGTGAGTGTGTGAGTCGCGCGTACCCGAGTACTCGAGTACATACGAGCACAGTACGGCTGGGTTGGGTTGCGGTAACGGCACGGGATCAAGGTTGTTGCTGTTAACGGTGATGGCCCTAGCAGTCCCCGAAAAGCTCAAGGGGATATTGAGCATCCGACCCACATTTATTGCATTGCATTGTGGGTTCTTCCTCCTTGCTCTCACTTTTCTCTCTCCCTTACACCCCCTCTTGCCTCCCGATCGAAGGATGGGTGAATAGGTAACGGATGGAATGTAGATATCTACATCGTATTCTTTGTTCTCTTGGGCGCCGTGGTGATATACCTTGGCGGTGGGGTATCGTTTGTCGATGCGATATTTTTTTCCTCGTGCGTTTTCCTCCCGCTCCCCTCCACCAACGTGTCTATCCGAGCAGGGCCGTATCATATTAACCGCGAACCGGGGAACTGCAGTGGTTCGGCGACACAGTCTGGTTTGAATACGTATGTCACCTCTTTCTTCACCCCCTCGATCCGATATCCCTGATCTCGCTCTCCTGATACCCGGTTCTTGGGAAACCGGGGACATGGTACAAGTACCGTATTGGCGGTGAACCAAAGTGGTTCATGCGCTCATTCACCCATAGGGCACCGGAATCTTCCCGCACTCGCAGGGTGAAACCGGGGATCCCTCGCTTATGTAATTCACCCGGTTGGAAGGGAAAGGAGGGGCTAACGTACGAGATGGTGTGATAGTGTCGACCTGAACAAGATCAACACCTTCCAGCAGGTTATCACGTACTTGTTGCCGTTCGTGACGTCTACCATATTCGCGCACGCTCTTGTCGTGTTTGTTAGGATATACTTTTTTGAGAAGAGGTTCAAGCATATTGGTATGCCCCTCTCCCTTCCCTCCATTACCCTTCCGTGCCTCCTCCCCTCGGCTATCGGTGGTGGTCGGAGGGTAATGCGGCGCGAGCGAGAGATCCAGTCGACGAAGCCAAGAAGAATACCCAACTGCAGAGAACGGTGAGCGCTGCAAGACGGTCGGGGGATAATGTCAGGGATGGAAATGTGGAGAGTGGGATAGGTATGTGCTTTACCCCCCTTCTACAGCATTTACCCCCTTCCACCATCACCGTAGCTGTTAATTGACGTCTTGTTTTGAGAACAGTGGTCCCGAGAGCCGCAGATGGAAGTGCTCTCCCGACACAAACGACACAAACCCCATCAAACAGTGATGCAGACGCCACCCCCCACCCACCCGAAGCACCAACTGGCGGCCGCATTGTATGGGATGTGCCGGCCTCCCAAGATGCCCACCAAACAGCGGAAGAAAAGGCCCACTACTACGACACCTCTCGATCGACAGCGGGGGCAATCCGCCGCCCTTCGACAGACACAATTCAGGAGATAACGGATGCCAGCGGCATCACTCGCCTGGATACAGGACCCGCTTCCTCTTCCTGCCGTTCACGAGCACTAAGTCGTGAAAATCCCCGGAACCGTAGCCGCCCCCGCCTTAGTCCCCGCAAGAGTACGGACGACCTGCCAGCACCGTACCTCAGCTATACCCCCAGCATCGGGCGCAATTCCCGCTTCTACCACCTAACGGAAGAACAGAGAAATGAGCTTGGCGGTATTGAGTATCGCAGTTTGAAAACGTTGGCGTGGATCCTTGCTGCCTATTATGTTTTTTTTCACGTTTTTGGTGTGATTGTGCTCGTGCCATATATTCTGCGGTCGCTGAAGTATGGGAAGGTTATGGATGACATCGGGGTTAATAGGGCCTGGTGGGGAGTTTATAACGCCATGTCCTGCTTTGGCAACGTTGGCTTCACGCTCACCCCGGATTCGATGATTTCGCTTCAGAGGGCGACGTTGGCACTGCTTGTTTGCGCGCTTTTGATTGTCGCTGGGTTAGTTGCTATCTCCGTCCCTTTAAACGATTAAACTCTATCCTAACTCGGGCAGGAATACGGGATTCCCGCTATTTCTGAGGCTCACTATATGGTGCCTTTTCAAGATGTGCCCGGAGAGGTACCCGGATAAGCGTGATGTATGTTTCAAGGGACTGTCCCGTAGGTATACTAACATGCCAATAGGAATTGAATTTCTTGCTAGATCACCCTCGGCGATGCTTTACGCTGCTCTTTCCCAGTGGGGTAGGTCCCCATCACAAATAGTCACATCAGCTATAACTAACCATAGCCAAACAGCCAACGTGGTGGCTCTTCTGGATCCTAGTCGTAATCCACCCTCCCTTCCCCCTCAAATACCAAACTTTAACAGAACTCAGGTCCTCAACGCCGCCGACGTAATCCTCTTCATAGTGCTAGACCTCCAAACCCCCGTCGTAGAATCTATCCCAGCCGGCTACAGGGTCTTAAATGCCTTCTTCCAAGCCATCTCGACCCGCACTTCCGGCACCGCCTCCGTCCCGCTCGGTTCCCTGCACCCCGGCATTCAATGCAGTTACCTTATAATGATGTACATCTCTGTACTCCCACTCGCAATCTCCATCCGTCGCACGAACGTGTACGAGGAGCACTCATTAGGGATCTATATCCCCCCCGGCGAAGCCACGGAAGCGCAGAAGGGGAATGGGAAGGATGAAGGGAGCTATATCAAGGCGCATATACGCAAGCAGTTGGAGTTTGACCTTTGGTATGTGTTCTTGGGTCTGTTTCTGATATGCATTGCGGAGGGGAGAAGGATTGAGGATGCGAGTGATTACGTATGATCTCACGTCCCATTTCTGATCCTGGCTAACGCGAGTGTAGGCGTTCACCGCATTCAGTGTATTTTTCGAGGTCGTTAGCGCCTAGTAACTATCTCCATCTCTCCTTCTTCCTCCACTATGCTAACAATACCAGCGGTACCGTCGGCCTATCACTCGGCTATCCAGGCATGAACACCTCCCTCTCCGGAACCTTCACCACATTCAGTAAACTCGTGATCGTGGCAATGGAGATCCGCGGCCGGCATAGAGGTCTCCCATACGACGTCGATCGCGCAGTGTTATTGCCTAGCGTGACGTCTCTGGATTCGGCGTTCGCACCGGCTGGGGTTAGGTTGGAAAGGGCGAAGAGCAAAGAGACTGGGAAGGATGAGAATATCTAGCACGGAGGTACTGTGGGCAGGTAGGGTTGTGGATTAGTGGATGGGCCCATATGTCGTAGCATGTTTCCGGATGGTGGAAGTGAAGCGGCGAAGTGGAGGCTTTGGATTGCGCAGTTCAAGCTTAGCGCTGCGTTGTAGAAGGAGAATGTATTTGATGGACTTTTGTGACACTACGAAGATGGGTAGGCGTTGGTATCTGGAGGAGGGAAGGGAAGGGGATGTTCTCTTGTAGGTCGCATTTTTAGCACTGTCTACATATCCGCGGCACATAACCTGGCAATATATCTTATTACCCAGAACTATTAGAGGCAGCATATCCCAAGTGCGAGCCATAACGCCCGAGCACCACCCACCGGGGTCTTGGGACTGCCGGTGGCGGGTGCGAGTGGATGAATAGTTGATGAACTACACCACATTACACAATGCCAAAGAAATAAAGCCACCGTAATCCTTCAAGTCCAGGGAAGCGGCGACCATCCCCCCGCCGGCAAAAAAAAAAAAACACCAACACCTGGCCACATATTACCCCATCATACCACATCATGCATCGCCAATATCTTAGGATTAGATACCATCCACCAGGACGGTCTCATTCATAGATATATTATTTAGGTCCTACCGGCGTCGGTTCTTGATACGGCGTGCGGCGTGGTGAGTTTGGGCTAGCGCGGTGTTATAGGATAATGGCAGTAAAGGGGTCCGGAGAGGAGTGACTAACACCAGTACTCGCAGCAGGAGATGAGGAAAATGTGTATCGCAAACGCCGGAAGAGGAGCTCCAAGTGCTCACCCACCATGCTCGAGGTATGCGCAAGCGACGGTGGAGCACTCATAGACCCGTCTGATGTGTCCCGCGTGGGGGATGGCTCGTCATGAACGCGTGCATGACCGGTACCTGGCCCGTTCATTCCAATTCAACGGCGAGGGGCGAACTAGCCAATGTATCTTTTTAAGAGAGGAGGTGTACTCGTGAATGCTCCATTCACATTGTCGAGAGAGCGGTCTCCGTTGTGTGAGTATTATCCCTCTCCCTTCGGGGGGGGGGGTAAACTACTATTACTCGGGATGGACTGTCGGATAGTTGGGTAGAAAATTTAGCTAGGTGTCTTATCCCGGTTGTGAAGTGATTCCTACCTCTGTGCTGGATGCGGTTGAATGTGGCTCACGGCTGCTTTTACTGTATTATGTGGGATTCCTCAGTCTTTTATTTTTGGTATTGGTCCGTTTCTAACAGATTTCTACTACTCTGATTGGCTCTCTACTGCGAGTCTTAGTGAGTACCCATTCATATAATAGTACTACTCGTAAAATCCAGCCCTGGTTCTTGAAACAAAACAATTACAGAATGAGAATTCAGACATTCTCCAATGGGATTGTCCCCTCCTAGTGCGGATTCGAGGACAAAATATCCCCCGAGAATGTCCCGAGCAAACCCTTGTATCAAAGTCAGTGAAGGGAAGGAAAGTCAGGGTGAATTCAAAAAGAGAGCAGGGACACAGATTTCAGGTAGTTTCCCGGGGGGGGGAGGGGGGGTGTGGAACCCTTCGAAAGGTTGCAAATGCGAACGGGGGATATGGTCCTCCTATTCAGGGAATTCCCGTAATACCTAAAAGATTCGCTACGATTACTGTACTGTGGGCTTGGGAGGGGTTTCCCCCTTCCCTCCACCAGAAAACGTGGTAAATCCACACCGCCACCAACTTCCGAGGGAGGGGTGGTTTGGAAGGTAAGTTAGAGCCTATCCCACACTCCATCTGGTCCCTTGGGCACCTCGGAATTTGAAATCGTAACCCAAATTCAATGGAGGAAAAAATAAAACAAAAAGTTTTCCCTTCTTATACTTGTTGTCATAGCACGCTCACCTTGCCCTACCTGATAAATCAGACAAATAATAACCCACCGTGAGGGAAAAAAAAATTCAACTCCCGGATCCTCTTTGATTGAGAAGGGGGGGAGGGGGTTGGTAGGTCCTGAGCATCCCCACCAATTGGCCGGTCAGTTGTTTCACTCAACGTTACAGAGAGTAAAATACTTGTCTGGCTAGCAGGTGAATCCTGATTCTCTTTTTTCGCCCTCTGGTCAAGGATAACGATTTATATTACCATCATTAAATATTGAGTTTATTGACGGGGGTTGATATTACACATCCTCAAGAGGAGAGAAACCATAGAGCTCGATCTGTAATTGTCAACGACAGGGCCCCTCTGTCACCAGAGGAGTAATCACAGCCGGAACATCAACGACGAAAAAAAGTTAGGGTTAGAGTGAGGACAGCGCCAACTTAGAAGGATCGTGATCAAGAAAGAATGCCACGCTTAGGTTAGACGGTGGGCGAGTGGGATATAAAAGACTTCAGCCACAGCATCCTCCCAATAGGACATAATATTGTTCACAAGACGTCACTCGTGAAGATTTTCTGATCGGAATAATCAACGCGATGAAAGCCTGCATTATCCATGGGCGCCTGGGTTGACCCCGCTAGACTCCACGAAGCCTCCACTGATCGTTTCCAGCCCTTTCATTCTACATCTTCCTCACCTCCATTCACTCCTAAACCGCCCATCCGCCCACCAGGGGCTCTCTTCAGTCCCACACGTGTATATATATACTGGCAAATTCCCTCCCCAAAAATATCATTGCTCTTGCTTTTCATCTTATATTGGACCCTTTCCCACACAGAATATCTTCTCCCGAGTGACAGTTAGAAGCTAGAACAGTACAGCGTCACTATTGTGTCATTCAACCTCCACCTCGAGGGCCTTCGGGCCATTACAAATATTGCAACTGTAACGGTGCATAATACATGGGGAAATCAGCGAAATCACACGATCACCATGCCCTTCGTCTATACAGAGGGTGCATCATGTAATGCGATGTTGTGGCTGAAAAAAATATATATGCCAATGTGTCATCGCTCTGGACAAGAAATTTATATCTAAATACCCGCAGTTTTTTTTCCTTCCAACCTCATCCGCGACCGCCTAAAATTCGGACACTTTTCCTAGCTCACATCCCGCCGCCGCCGCCGAAAAGAAAACATGATCAACCAGCAGCCAGCCGCTTTGTTCACAGCGTATCACCCGATAAATACCCCATTCCCCATGCGAGCCTACTACATGCATCCACAATGGGTCCCTAGCTAGCCTTAAACCCCCACAAGCGCACCTGTCGTTTACGTTATAGTATCTCCGTTTCGCTAAATGTACCGCGACTAACACATTAAACCCCTTTCACCAACTTGCAGTACAACTGGCGAGGTGCAACCCTAGCCCTTCCTACGGGATGATCGCGTCCATAGAAGTTTCGGCCGGAGTTGGCCACCGGTACTCGCACATAACCTTCTCGCTACCTCTCCCCACCTTGAAAATCATGCGCGCGTGGGGGAGGAGACGCCAGATCCCGTCGGAAATAACACCACGATCCTGGATCGGCTAATTGCTTTTTCGCGGGCTTGGCTTTTCGCACCAATTGTTTTGATGAGAGGATATCACATCGGTTCTGGGACTGGATGTTTGCCAAGTGACTCAGTATTTGACGAGGGAGGACTCAGGATGCCGGTTAATACTTCCAAGGTTGTGTACTTGTATGCTTGTACTCCTCGAAAAGATTCAATTGATAAGAGCTCTTTGTTCGTTTGTGGTACAAGTACCCCCCATCAGTTTGACCATCATTAGGGGTCAGGTTCGGCACCAGCCGATACCTACTTGTAGAACAACGAAAACTTCCGATTGCCCAACCAGAGACAAGTTCAGGATGGTTCAGCGGCCATGTTGAGGTCGAAATAAAGTAAATCATCGGAACTTCCCGTCTTGGCAGGACTGATAGGCTCTGATTAGTCAATAGCCATTCAGAAAGAGTGCAGCTCTCCAGAGAGTCAAGGTAGACCCTCGATAAGACTGAATCACTGATTAAGAAGTGCGAACTGTGGGAAATTCCCCTGATTCACGCGGAAAATCCAACGCCATAAAGCATGAGAAACTGCTATGGAGCAAGGCATGTCAGCAACAACTTCCTACCGAAGATAAAACCTCACGGCCGGCTCCGGGTATGGAAGTCAACCCCGGCCACCCCACCTATTAGGATTCCAACACCGAGATACTCACAGCCCGAAATTTCGTTATTCCCGAGCCCAGAGGGAGCCCTACAGAGTGATGAAGAATAGAAGCGAGAGAAGGGTCACGATCGTAGAGGAGTGCCAAATAGGTAGCGGAACGACGAATTGTGTAGACGCCTGCCCTCCCGTCCACCCATTCATCGCGACTTCAAAAGTAGCGCTTCTTTCCGATGAGAACAGTATGCCCTAGGGCTATCACGGGAGAGCTACGGAGCTTATGCGCTCCCATCAACTCCTCTTAGGTAATGGATCATCTAGTTGCAGTCAGCGAGTGTTAATCCTTTGTGTGAAGCAAATACCCTGCGGGGGAACGTTGAAGCCGCGTCAAATCTCGGCTAGATTGTATGGGTGTAGAGGCTGTGCCTGGTATGAAGGTTTGATCGGTTCAGTGGTTTAGTTGTTGTTGTCCGGAAAGAAGAAGACTTTGAGAAGATCCCCGTTCCGTCCGTTAAGCACTGCCTTGGAGATTGGACGAGATAGACTCCTACGGGTACTGAATGCGGTGATTCGAGCCATCTTTCCAACTCGTCGCAGTCTAAGAGCTCGACGATCGAGTCCGCAGCAGCGGGAAGTTTTCCCCTAGCTGGCTGGCTACCGGCGAAATCGCGTCTGGGTGCGCACTCAGATGGCGTTGGAGTGTGTCTGCCTGACGACACGCCCCGCGACACAACAACCCTACGCGGAACCAACTTCGTGGACATCCCAAATTGCTTCGACAACTCAAGCAGCAATCCCAGCAGTCGGGTTGGCAGTCCCCCCGAGTCCGGAAGGCTTACATTTAATGTCCTCGAGTGATTAGGTATGATCCAGAGTTGTCGCATTAGCGGGTGAAAAAAACAAGCTGGCTGGTATATCGGGATGAGCGAAACAGCGTCGAGAAACATGCATAGAGGATTCTTTTAGTCGGAATCCCATACTCCAATACCTGATGGAGCACTGAGGGTATTACGTGGAAAATCTCATTGGAGGGCCTTTGGTGTGACGAAAAGCAATGGGACTGATGGAGCGGGCTATGTAAGCCTCCTCCCAATCACTTTAGACACCGGTGGTGCTCACAGTAATGTGATGACGGTAGATAATGGGACCATTCGCAATCAAGGCCGTCGGAAGCCCTCCGCCTTGCATCTGTCAATAATGAGTGCCTAGCATATTTTTAGCCTTTCCTCTGGATAGAATCTCTTTGAAGAGTCTCCCCCCTCCCCATCCCCCCCCCACTTCATGTGCCAACTAGAAGCCAGAAATTTCCAATAGAAAACGAGTATTTTCGCGTTAATAGTTGCTCGCCAAAAGTTACCCCCCTCCGAAGCCCTACGAGAGCGCCGCTAGGAAAAGCAGGTCCAAGACAACAATAAAACTGGGCCAAGTGCAAACTCCTTGCATCAGAGAGAGAGCGTTAAACTGACCTGGAACACCTCACAAGACGGTCCACGTTGTACAGAAGAGTGGCCATGAAGCGCCGATCCCCTCTGCGTTTATTGCTTGCCCGCACACATTCTTGGCTAGGATCATCGATCTCCTATTTACTGCAAGAAGGGCCTTTTCAGCCCTTCCTCTCGATCCCGGGAACAGGGACAGTCTCGTGAGGTGGTGGTGATAGTTGGCAATCGTTACCCTGGGTAGCTTAGTTTCCAGACACCATGCCCTTACCCGTGCTTGGTCGGACAAACTCCTCCACTCCATCCTGTATAGATTGAGACGAATATAGTTACATTGTAGCTGAGCGGGCGCTATGAAGAGAGCGGCAAGAAAAGTGGTTATTAGGGGAGCTTCAAAAATATTAACAGAACAATTATCCTCCACACCCAGAGAGATTAGCTGCTGCTAAGTTACACCACCCCAGCAGTATGTCACACGAGAGAACGCAAGCTCTCGAGCTACGTATACGGCTATTGCACAGCCACCTTTCACTGCTTCCAGAAAACTATCTCCCTGTATAGGCGGTTATGTTCGAGTGCTTCGCATTTATTTGACCGAGAATCATTCGATCCACCGATACAAAGCTCTGGGCAAAGCAAATGCGGAGCTGCTAGGCGTACTGGAGTACAGTAGGTTTTGTTACTCCGGGAGCCGGGGGCCGTTTCAGCGAAACTCAGCACCGTTGCTGCACGGGAGAGCTGAGTGCAGAAAAAAAAAACAGCCTATGATATTTGCACTTGTAGTAGAGGCAATTTGTTTTTGTTTTTAATACCCTAATTCTTGCTCAAATTGGTTGTTTTGTCTTATTTTTGAGAAAAAAATAAAATACAAAATAAATAAAAAATCCTGAATCCGATATTGCTTCTTCACTCGGAGACATTCTGCTTTCTTAAAGTGGTTTGGTTGGTTGGTTGGGTGTGGAATGACGTTTCGGAGGAACCTATCCATAATAAGGATGATGCTCCATGACTCACCTGCGAGATGAGAGAATTTGGAGAACGTTCTCCGTACCAAGATACCCAAAGGGGGGGAGGTTGGTCATACGATTGAAGCTAACTACTCCACTCTGTGCACTTTTCTTTCCTAGCTGTTCTCAATCCGGCTCTCTCTCTCTCTTTACCTCTACCGCCACGCCCATCACTAAAAATGTAGGATAGCATCCAGGTCTAACCTCATGAGGCGTAAAGACTGTTACATCGATGGGCAAGGGAAGCGCTTCGATTGCCGCGCTGATATCTTTTTAGAATTCAACAACAGTATGCATGCGGAGTGGGTATGCATCAGGGTGATGATGGAGGGGCCGTTTGAAATTTCGGGTAACCAATGTCTACTGCCAGGCACAACGAGAGGCAAATTATTGTCCTGCACTGCTCTTTTAATCCCCCCCTTGATATTGCAGGAAAGACCATGGGGTAAAAGCAAATGACCAGTCGATAAGAGACCCACCCCCCCTCAAGGAAAAACCTAGCCATGATAATCCTTTCCCCTCCCTTTTCTCCCCATTTCCCCATTTCCCAATCCTTTCCTCCCCTCACCCACCAACCCGGTAGTTGAGGCGAAGCAGCAGACAAGAAAAGAAAAGAAAAGCGAAAAAAAAATTGAAGCGAAATAAACTAAATTATCTAGGCGCAAGGGGTGCGTAAAGTGCACGAAGTGTCAACCACCGGCGCGTTGTCGTTTAGTTAAACTAATCCCACACCCTTTACCAAATTTTTCAATCAAGTTACCTCCACGCTCGAGTGCCGTATGAACCCTTTCATGATACCACGTTTCGGGGCATTCGAATCCGGGAAGCCCACCACAACCCTTCCTTCCTTCCTTTACCCAAACCATTTCACCGCACACACTCTGGAAAAGAACCTTGCTCGATGCTTGCTGACTTCGCCAAACTGTGCCCCAAGCGGCAAAGCCTGCCTGCCTGCCTGCCCATTTTCATTAACAAGAGATAATTTCAAAGCCCCGAAGGGCTGTGACATTTAGACCTCCCTTCCGGTTGGTCTGCGAACGATTCACATTTGTGCAGCAGAAGGAGCCAGATCAGGAACTCATCATCAAAAGAGGCTTGCAGTAGATCTTCGTCGGTCGCTGCTCCGACGTTACTGTAGGGTAAGCCGAACTAGCTGTAAGCAAGCACCTTTGAGTCGCTTTCAGTGTCCAATGCCCTCGTCCGTCCGGAAAGGTCAGGGGAGATGTACGAGTAGGTAGCAAACTAAAGACACAAGAACCAAGGAAAGACAAAAAAAAAAAAAAAAAAGAAAAAGAGAGAAGTTCAGGGTTCCGCCTGCGCAGGTGCCAGCGAGCAACGAAGGAAAAAAAGGCTGGGTTAGTTGTTTTGGTAGCCGACCCCATACAAAGGTGTCGTTTTCATAACAATTTTGAGCCCCCCGAACTGAATTCTTGGATGAAAGGGAAAACCGGAAGGCGATATTTCAAAACAGGTTAGGTTGTTGATGTGCAGCCAGAATAGGTTCCAATTTGGCCAAGTCCGAGTCCTTGGAATCACCGCCCATAGACAATTGCACCCCCCCCTCAAGCCAATCTATCCAGGCCCAATTACTGTACCACCCTATCACCATTCAATTAACCTGTATCTACAGTTGGCTACAGTATGCAGACACCGACCCGCCCGAACCCCAGCATCCCTTACTCTTGCCATCCAAGGTCCTAATTCGCCCTTCTGCACCTCTTTTTTCTCGTGACTCCTTGCCCTAGTGAACCCCCCCCCATCAATATATTAGGACTGGTGCCCCTCTCCCGTTGCCTACCGAACTCTGAGATTCATAGAACACACACTCCCTTATCCAAGCGCTTATCTGATTGTCTTCGAAAGACTTTCACCCACCACATCACAGACCGAACGAAGAGACAAAACTACCCCCAACGAAAACAAACATCACTCCTCTCATAAGAGCTATACAAGAGGCAGAAGAAGGGAAAAAAAATATATTAAACAGAAAACACAAAAGTTGTTTATCTGGCCCAAAATGTCTTTCTGCAGCTCACCAGCATCGCAAAGGTCCTCCTTCTCAAGCACATATTCACTAGACTGCACATCACCAAACACCGCAGTCACTACTCCCAGCAGCAGCGGGGCAGCCTCACCAAAACTCGGACAATCCTACACATATACGCAACCCCCATCACCAGATGCTCCCGACTTCAGCTACCCATACAATCCCACCTCACCCATCCCAATGAACGAATACCCCCCCTCCTCTGCATCGCCATCATACGCGTACAGCTGCAGTAATCAGATACCGAGCCCTTCACCATTCACATATAACGCTACCCCCCCGCCCTTGTCTGCTTCCCCGAGTAGCTACGGATACCCGGGGTACGCCAGCTACATGCCGGAATCCCCACTATTGCTGCCTTCATCTTATGTTCACCACCTGCGGAGTCCCACACCGCTGCCACCCATGGACAGTAGTAGTAGCGGTAGTATGAGTGGCAGTGGCGATACTGCTGCTCCTGCGCCGAGAAAGTATTCAGGATACCCACCTGCTTCAGCGTTTTATGGCCCGATGCCGAATTCACCTGTATGTTCGGCATCGTCATCGTCATCATCGTCGAGGTACCGAAGGAAGCGCTCGGAGGCAATAAACCCTGAGGAGTACAAGCCCGAATCGTGGTATACAGCAGATGGAACGAAGGTGGAATATTCAGCTATGCATCTGCAATGCGCAACTATGTGACGAGATGGGAAGAGAAAAAATCCGAAACTTTCCGGATTCTTTCCCTGTATTCCCTCCATCTTCCATATATCGATTTTCTCTGATTTCCTTTTATACTTTTATGCTTTTTTTTTTCCTTTTTCTAAGAGGCCTTTTATTTGCTCTGGATGGGCGAGCATGGAGGAACTTTTGACGACTTATGGACTCATGCATTGACTGGGGATGCGGATGGGAGTGGTAACGGTTTCTTCTCACATTACTGCACAGAATGGCCGCGAGCCCTTTTCATCGCTCTATCTGCTACGACACCTACGGCATCTGCACCCCCTCCCCTTCATATCGTTATGCTACACAACGTTTCGATACACTGGATAAAACATCAACCCGTGCACACAAGACGCTAACACCTTACTTCGAACGTGCGAATCAACGGGTCCTTACTTGTTTACTCATTCAAGTTAAAAGGAGCAGACAGCGGGAGCTTTTTATCCTATCCCCTATGCGTCTCTGTGCAACTGAAAGGATAAGAGAAGGTTTCTCCTGGGAGGGATTAGGGTTTCTTGTGGGATTTAGAACCTCCGCGGAGGCGAGAGATCTGGCGGATTGGAAAGCCTTGTCGGGCGGGGGATGGAACGATTTAGGTTGATCAGGCTGGGTTGGGGTTTGGAAGTCACGACGAAGGGCAGGAATGATGGGAACATGGAAGAAAAACAGTGCGAGAGACGAATCAGCGAGAGGATAGAAGATGAGAGGATGGCACAGCCCCACGAGTTACCCTCCATGTGCGCCCGAGTACAGTACGGTACTCGAGTACAGCAATACCTCCAACTCTCCCTGCCATTTGCTTTGTCACACGGGCCCCCGCTAGAGCAGCCGGTTCAGGAGGTAGGGTCAATATCTATCCACCAGCACCCCAGTCGTTTTCGAGCCTGCAGCACAGCAACGAAAGAGCCAAGCAACAGGCGGAAAACCTCGAAACCTTACCGATTTCGACAGGAGCCCACTCTTTCCCTCCCATCCATCCAACGTTGCGGTACCACCGCCAAGCAGCTCCCCTGCTCGAACTGGTCATAGCGGGCTGATTTCGTCAAAAAAAAAAAGGAAAAAAGAAGTCTTATTCAAGAGGATTAATTCTCTCTCCTTCCCTCCTCTTGTGCTTCCCGCCGTTTCATCACGGGGAAACAGTCATTTGGGCCACGGAGTCGCCGATGGTCTAACCGCTTTTGTACAAATCGACGAATAGCAAAGCAACCGGTCCAACCTAGCGAAAAAAGGGAAGGCTCTATTTTTATCGACAACAACCTTCTTCCGCTGCTTATCACTTTTTCCTTCCTTTTTTTCACTTTTCTTCACACTTCCTCCATTCCAAAAAGAACCCCCCTTTCGTAGCTCATTGGATCGAATTGTATGGGGCGCTTTTTAATCATTCCATCGTAGCCTTTTGCTCTTTCATGAAACTTCACATTTCCAGACCTTTTCCTCCCACTCGCTCTCGATCCGCGGGCATCTTGCTTTCCCTCCTCCATTCCCATCTCCCATCTCCGCAACTCAATACCCCTCATTTCACCATATTCATCTCAACTCACCATGGCCTTTTTTTCCCTTGTTATGTTTTTCTTCTTCTTTTCCTCCCTTCTTTCCTTTTTCCCCTTGTTTCCTTTTTTTCCCCGGGGCGTTTATTAGGCTTCCTATTCTTCTTCATTTGTCCATTTTATCCCTCCATCCCCCCTTCCTCCTTCCTCTTCTATATTTCTTTGTCCATTTTTATTCTTTACTCTGATACAGCAAACTCTCATCTCATTCCCAGCGAGCGAGCCCGAGGGTCTAATTGTTGTCGCATGTTTACTCTTATCTTCTCTCTTCATCGTAGGTTTTCTATCACCATCGTGTTACGGGTTTTAGGTTGCTTCTGGGGGCGTTCGGTGGGTGTCTGTTATCCTTACTCGCAGTATTACTCTCCTACCAAAACCGGATGTTCTTTTTCTGTGTAGAACTTGTGTGACTATTCTATTTAACTCTCGAGATGCGTTCCGGTGTTGTCTTATGGTGCCAAGGAGTCGGGGGAAAGGGGGGAAAGAGTTCAAAGAGAGGGGCTGTCGATTAAAAAAGGAATCAATAGAAAAAAGCATGAAAACTACCGTACTGGCGTTTATATTGATTTTCGGTTGACCGAATGGATGGACGGATGGTGGTGGTGGTGGACTCACGATGCCCCGATCCGATTGGGATAGATTAATCCAGTGGAGGTTTATTTACAGCACGATACAAGCAAAAGGCTAGCAGCATATCTCATCACGTGCTCGGGATATACAGGGGAACGGCACGACCATGAGGATGCTGGTAACCCAAAAGTGCGCAGCACACAGGAACCCAACGGCACGATATACGATGCGATGCTGTATGGAGTACGATACTTCGTCACCACATCACCACGGACGGCCTCGCCAAAAGTCCTCAAGTCGTATTGTGCTCGAGTACTGTACAGTACTCGTGCAGTACAGTAACAAGGCCAAGCGAGACCATCTATTCGCAGCAATTTATATCTACCGTACCGTAACTCTCTTTTAATAACAACCCCACTCCCCCCCCCCCCGCCCCATGCGAAAGGGAAAAAGAAAGGGAAAGAGGAGGAAAGAAATAGACATTTAAAAAAAACAAAAACAACCATTGGCCGGCCAGCCGGTGGGGTAAGTCGCACAGAGTGCGTTTTTTTTGGACACATTACCAGCCCACCTACTTGTACTCGACAGTACTGTACCGTACCGTGCTTGTAACCCTCCGAAGGTGCATCGCAGATTATATCTTTTCGCCTTTTTTTTAAATAAAAAAATTATATCTTTAGATACTCGAGTACGGTATTGGAGTGAATGCGATGACTGGATAGCTTAAAATGCCCGATGCAGAAGAAGGCGTTAAATTTACCTCAAAAAATTAAAATTAAAATTATTTGCGCTCTTGATAATTTTGGTAGTGTGGATTTGTGGTGTATCGATTGATGCGCATTTTGTTCCTCCGTTCCAGCCCTAACTTGTGCTCGTGCATACAAAGTGCCCGGGAGTGCAGTAACTGTTACCGCCGTGGACGGTCTTCAGCCGCTTCGCGGTTGGCTGTTCTTTATCGTGAGTTCTTTTTATTTATTTTTTTCCACCTTTTTTCTTTTTATGATTGTTTCTGATTGTTTTCGGGCGAGGGTGGTACGGACTAGAGTGGGCGACCGGTATGCCGGGGTGGACTCTTGTACTTCTACTGTACTATCATAGAACCCGTGGACCACTGTTGGTTTTGTGCCTGGAAGCATTAATCTCGTTGTTTTTTCCCTCATTTCACTCTCCTGTTTCTGCCCCCGTTACAGTAATAGGATTACACTTTTGGGCATGATGCTGGGATGTTACAGTACTCGCGTTGGGTAGTGGTCGGTTTCGAAGGGGGGTGGGTGGGATCTGAAATCGTGGGATTGGTACTGTTTGATACTAACGATGTTCCCATGATACTCACCTGAAGATGAGATGGGATCCTGGTATCATAGGAGAATGAGCGAAAGGTTCTCCCATCACGCCAAACAGGATACAACACAGAGAAAATCTCCACCTCAATACCCTACCGGCCAATCCTATCCGATAATTCCGGTAACTCTATTTTACCAGGGAGCATTTCATACAAATACCATAAATGCATATATGATACAATTCCCTCCCCCCCCACCCCTCCCTCCTTGTCCCCAAATTTACTCGAGAGTGACTCAATTTTGCACATTTGGCCTTTGCCTCTCTCTTCTCTGCTTTGCTCTGCTTTTGCTTTACTCTAACTTTACTCGCTTCTTATAGATTAATAATTAAAAAAGCTTTCCCACCGCCCCCCCCCCAATTCTCTTCTTATCCGATCTGGTCCTCTCTCGATTGGAGAAACAGAAGCCTTGGCATGTGGCAAACATACATACATACCTACAGCATCAGACCGGCATCATCAAAGCCCGTAGATTTACCACACATACAGCACTTTGCGAGAAAGAAAGGGAAAAAAGAAAAGAAGATAGAAGACGCGTCGCGACGCGACGCGACTTCCACAGGAATTGAGCTCCTCTTTTGTTTTTTGCTCACTCACTCACTCACTCCTCAGTCACTCACTTTTCTCGTCATCAAGTAAAGTCAAATTTAAGTTAGGTTTTGCCCCCCAGCCAAAGCATGTGATGGACGATCACCCCGATTGGGTAATTATTGGGATATTGCGCGATTATGTTTACTCTCCTTTTTCCTGCTCCTCCTCCTCCTCCTCCTCCTCCTCCTCCTCCTCCTCCTCTCCTTAGATAGCCGGGGTTTTTTTTTCCTTTTTTATTACTCCCCGCCGATGGAAAAAGGAAGTGCCGGGACGAGAACTCTGTTCTGACCAGAGATGGGAAACGCGACTAACCACAGCAACTGCCCATCGAGGTGTGTTGTGTGATTGATTGACATCTCCGGGCCGTGCGCACTTGTACCTGTATTGTAACCTTCTCGGAGGGTAGAGGAAGAAAAGAGGCTGCTAACGGGGTCGGAGTGATTTTTCTCGCCTATTTAGGGGGCTTTTCCACTTTGCTTCTTTCTCTTTTTTCCTTTTTCTTGTTTCCTTTTTGCTACTGGACTGACTTGACTTGAACTGACTGGGTGGGCTGACGGGTTTGTCTAGTTTGGAATTGCTTTTTGCGGGAGTGGGTTGGCTTTTTGTTACCTCCGCCATAACCTAACCTAACCGTGCAGGCGCAGGTTCTGTCCATCCATCAATTGTGTTTGTATCACACCGAAGTACCCTACCGTGCTAGTACTCTGTCTTGCGGCGGCCGATTCATTCACGTCAGAGTTCAATTCCCATAGTTTGAATACTCGAGCACGGTACAGTACTCGAGTACACCCATTCGGCAGGGTAAAAAAGAGTGTATCACAATACAATAACTGTATCATCGTCATCTCCATCTCCATCCATCCATCCATCCTTCCTTCCTTCCTTTCTGCCCCGTCGATCGCTCCGTCAACTCATCTCCTCCCCTCCGCAGCACTTGGCGTCGCGCATACAGTAACCGTCCCAGCAGTGTACTATTGTACAAGTACTTGTACGGTACAGTACTGCACGACCTACGATACATTTCCTTCCCCCCCCCCACCACACACACATTCCTTCCCACCGGTGTAATAATTATACCGGCCCGCCAATCAATCGATCAATCAACCAACCAACCACCTCCTTCTACCGTGGGATCGGAAAAACCTCAAAGAAACGCAAACCAATCTATCCACCTACGTGAGTGCCTACGATGGCAGTATACGCGTATGACTACGACTGCTGCTGCTTAATCACTCCCATCTTCACTTCCAAGCATGCATGGAACCTTCTCTCGACTACTACCCAAACCCTTTTTTTTCTTTTTCTTCTTTACACCAAGTGTGTGTGGGGGGAGGGCTCTACTAATATTTAGTGGCTTCCGGTTCCAGACGCCGTCACGAGACATCACTCGAAGCTTAATAGCTTATTATTATTGTTATTATTATTATTATCATTATCATTATCATTATCATTATTATTACCACCCGCCTGGGAATTCTTAACCGGATTGGGAAAGTGTGCGTGGGCGGAGATGATGGAGATGAGGGTGGGGCAGATTCGGTCGTGCGTAGCCGTCCCCCCCTCCCCCCCACCCCTTTTTACAAGTTATCTTAGCATCATACCGGTAAGGTAAGGTAAGGTAAAGTAGGTTTTAGGGGGGTTTGTTGGCTTGGTATTTTATAGGAGTACAGCACCGCTGTGGAGTACAAGTTATCATAACTGTATTCGAGTACCGTGTGTTTGCTTCTCCCCATGATACCCACTTGCCTTGCTGGTCTGCACTGCACTGCACTGCCCGGTACGGTACCGGTACCGGTATCATACTATCATAGTTAAAAATTATTGTCGGCAGGTCGGTCGGTCGGTCAGTCCGTCCGTCGCTGCTGGGCTTAAGGACCGGGCCCGCGCGCTGACCTGTATGATACTTGTATTGTACGATCCAGTATCATACTAGTACCATCCAAGTACTTGAGTGCGAGCAGAGCAGAGCACAGCACGGCACAGCACAGTTAGTTAGTACGGTAATTAATCAGTCGTGAGCGAGGGGAAAAAAAAAAACTCGAGTATCATATCAATCATACTGCAGAGTACTTTATCATGCTTTTCTCCCGACGTGTTCTGTTAAATATCATCTCGCTTACCTATTTATCCATCCATCCATTATATTTATATTAACTTTTCTCTCGCCCTATTCTATTTTTTTTCTTCTTTTCTTCGGTGGGGGAGAGCAGAGCAGAGCAGAGCCCGATCGATAAATCTATGATACCCTACGCTTGCGGAATGGAAAAGCCTTGAAATGGCGCGGTTGGTGGGGGTGCGTATGCCTTTCTTTCTTTCTTTCTTTCTTTCTTTGTGGGGGGGAATGGGGAAATAGAATAGAATCTCACATCGTACGGTTTTCCCGACCGGTGGGTGGGTGGGTGGTGCTTCTAAAGTATGATATGATATCGCTCAGCCACAATCGTTCTCACCCTCCCTCCCTCACGATAGTCTACATAACTATTGGTTACTTTGTATCATACTGTGCGGTAAGGGTTTTTTTTTTCTTCTTCTTCTTCTCCCTCGCAAGGCTTGATTTGATTTGATCCGATTTGATTTATCACTGGTCGAAGCGATTTTCTTACCGTGCTGTTACTAGTACTAGTACCATGCGCTTGGAATTGTACCTGTACTGTACTGTACAGTACAGGTAATATCCTCGGCCCCCCTTCGCACACCGTGCATAGCATACCGATATTCCGCACTTTGCTAAAGGCTGTACAGTACTGTACCAAGTACAGTACAGTACGGTACGGTAACTAGTTAGTGATGTGCTGTGCGCAACGCCCAATTCAATTCAGTTCGGTTGATTGATTGATTGATTGACTGACTGACTGACTGACTGACTGGCTGGCAACAGTGCAGTAGAACGACCGATAAACCTTTCAACCAAGCCACGAAAAACGCCTCCGCATCATTCTTCTTTTTCCTCCTTCTTCCCCTTCTTCTTCTGCCTTTTCCGTAAATCCGTGAGGCTACACAAGGCTCTCTATTTCTTGGGTTACGCAGCATGGTACGAAAATCTCACGTCTTACACATGTATCCGGCTAGAACCTTTTTTTAATCGGGGGTTTTCTTTTTCTGTTTTTCTTTTTCTGTTTTTCTTCCTTTCTAAAACCTTCTCGAATCCTCCCACTATTAGTAATAATAATATTTTTTCTTCTTCTTCATATTCTGGGGTTTAGAGAAGATGGAATAAAATGGGTAAGTCACTGCGCGATGGTATCTTTCCCGGATCTCGTCTAGAATTTTAAATGATGATATTATGGTGTGGTATGGTTATTGTATTATTATACCGTACGGTGCGGGCGCTCACTCACCCACTCGCTTCACCGCAGGGCTGAGAAGGAGCCCGGAAGTATAGCGCGGTATATAGTACTTGAGTAGAAGTTATGGTGGAGTACTTACGGTCCCAGTCCCGGGCTACGAGTACAAGTACCCGGAAACAAGGGAGGAGGGAGAGGGTGTAAGTCTATTTTGTCTGTATTGGCGCTCGGATACCGTATATTTCGCAAAATCCCTGTTGTTCGGGTGCTTCTCTGGCCTGGGACGACGAGTAAGGTGAGCTGCAGAGCATCAAATGCACAAGTATCCTACTAGTACCGGCAGTTAGTCTTTTGCTTCCTGCCCCCTTGCCCCTGCCTTCCAATATGTGCCGTACCACCACCCACCAGCAATCATCATCACCGCCCACTTACCACTTTCAGTCGCACTACCGGTACGTCAACCTCGCCGTCGCTTGTTACCTGTACGACAGGCAGGCAGGCAGGCAGGCAGGTAGGCAGGGCGATCCCACGAGAAACTCGGCCGTTCATTACCTGGGGCTCCCGTTGTGGAACAACCGGCCTTGGTGGCACGAGGAGGGAATTGGGCGAATGTCGCACACAGGTGTCCGTCCATAATTGCTCCGGGCGACTTTATCCGGAAGGTGATGCGAGGTATGATATGTATGCATGCACGCACGGTATCGTGGGAGTTCCAAGTGGGAAAGTGAGGGAAGACGGGGAGGGGACTTTTGTAATGGCCCGGGGCGCAATTTACTGTGCAGGGGGGAAGGGAAAGAGTGAAGGAATGAGGGAGGTATGATACTCGAGTATGATGAGAAAAAGGGGGGGGGGTGGAGGGAAAGGGTTGAAATCGATTCTTCGGTAATGCCGTGCTGGTAGATTTGTCGGCGTGTGACTGTTTCCCTTTTCGTAACGGTTCGTGCTACTCCGCTTGGATTTTTGGCGTTCTAGATTCATGGTACCGGGAGTGGGTGCGGTGCGGTGCTGTGGGCGGATTTGGCTGGATGGGGTGGGGGGTGTCTGTGTGTCTTTGAGCCTATCTGTCTGCCCTGCGCTTGCCGCTTTGGTGCGGTGTGTGGAGTATCATGCTCTTTTCACGTTCACCCACGGCACCTTCGAGCTGGCTTTTACCAGCGCACTTGTATTATGAATGCTGTAACGTGACAGAGGTTCATCGGTAATGCCGTGAAGGGGAGAAAGGAGAACCCCCCCCCTTACCGTAATACCGTACGAGTATGATATACAGTACGATGATAGTTTTCCCTCGACTAATTATTTATGCGGCTTGGATTGTTTAAATTGCTGTTGCGATGGTCGGAGGTTCGGTGCCTGTTACTTCCCTTTCCCATCCCATCCCATCCTCCTTCCCGGCAATTTACATTCCTAACTGTATCATACTAGGACCGGCACAGTACCGTACAGTATGGTGCTCTATGGGCCCTGAACCCCCCCCCCACCATGATCCCAAACCGTCGCTACTCTCCTGGCAATGCCACACATCCATTCCTATTACCCGGTTGTCATCCTCCCTGCAAATTCAATCTTCATGGAAATACCCTCAAGCGCTGCGAACCGTCCCTCCGCCACGAAATATCGGATACTCCGATAAAGCGTTCATGGATATCGTTCTCTATCTAATTATCCTGTGGCATTTGGTGGTACGGATACGGTACGCTGGTAAGACGTTCTCGACGTTACATGTACTTTTTTTTTTTTTTGCCGTGCGCGCCTATGCGCTGTGTTTGGGTCTATCGTGAAAGTGAGTTCTCACGGTTGGGTTATTAACGGGTGGGCGTGCGCTGTGGCACGGCCTACCCGCCGCAGCGTGCGGGGGGATGCACGTTTGCACGTACGGCGCTCGCTTGCGTGGGTTGGTGGGGGATGGGCACCGTACCGTATGATGCGGTGGATATACGCCTTGCATTATACGATATCGCTAGCCAGCCAGCCAGTGACTACGAGTACGGTAGTGGTCATGATGGTTTGTGGAGTGGTGATGGTGCTTTTCTTATCCAACCCGGGCTATCGAGAAATAGGTTACCATGGTGGTGGTGGTGGTGATGGTGGTGGTGGTTGTGATATATTTGGCTCAGGATCGTCATTTCCCCACTCCCCAGTTTCTTTTCACCTTCTTCCCTTCAATCTGCTAATCTTATCCGATCTTGAAACACCAAAGAACGGGGTATGCATACGCCCTGTTCTCGATCCGAAGCTATCGTATGCTATCGTGTCGTATCCCAGGGAACTGTACCATATCGGTGATATCATCATCATCGCACTCTGCCGCCACGACGACAACGATGGTATTTTTGCAAACCCTCCCCCTCCCCCCACTACCGAGAATAACATGATCGCTAGGGCTCGGGACCCCGGAAATTGGTGACCCACCGAGATCCCAAGCGCATATATATGTCGTGAAGTGGAATATTTTTATGCCGGCGCTTATCGCAGTATTGTACGGTGCGGAACAGTACTTTAAGTATCATCATATCCAGCCTCACCCATTCCCTCGTTCTCGCTCCGCCTCGTACTCTTGACGCTATCGATAGGCACTAAAAGCCCTTGGCCACATTGTGCACTTCTTGGGACGAACCCATCCCATCCATCCTCGCGAATTCTCCGTGGAGCGCCATACGGCATGGCACGATACGATGCTGTCTCGACGCGCGGGGCGTTGCCGTCGTCGTTACACGGAGCACAGGACGGTACGATGCTTCACAACCTAAATAGCACAGCGAGACCCGCGACGAGAGTGTGAAGGGAAGGAAGGAACGGCCGGACGAAGGAATAGAAGTACCGTAATTGAAGAGAGATAGGAAGGTAGGTGGGTAGGTGTGTGTGTGTGTGTGTAGCGCGTACCGTACTGTACTAGTACCGTACAGTACTATGCATGCATGTATGTGAGTGATACTATATATGCACCCATGTCATTATTCACAATAGCCCCGAATTAATTTTGTTTCTTTCTCTTTCTGCTTATTTACAGGTGTGTGTGTAACAGTGTAAGAGCCTCTTGGTCGCCGTCCTGAATTTATCCCGGGCAGTTAACTTGATCCCGGGTGGTAAAGCTTGTCTGGTTAGCTAGCTTTCCCCCCTTCCCTTTTGGGAATTTTGGGAATTTTTCCGGAATGGATAGATGGGTGGGGTCACATTTCAGCCTTGTGTGCGTGGTCGAGACTCGAGACCACCCGCATCATATCGCTCGGGAGCCGGTCCGTAGTTTGGATAGGAATAGCCTTTTTTTTTCTTTTCGTTCGAACGTACTCTAGGGCCGATGGATTGGGGGGGGGGGGGAGCGGAGCTAACGAGTGATTGATTGGCAGGGGAGATTTTATTGGGTATTCGGGACCAAGGCTTGAGCACTGACGATGGTGGTGGTGATATCTTGCCATGAAGGATCACTCGGTCGTTGTCGAAAGTGGGTCTCTATTAATTTCCGACTGACCTGGGGTGGGTGGGCAGGTGGGCAGGTGGGCAGGTAGACAAGCAAGAGAGTATGACACTGTACGTGTACTGCCCCACACACTATAGCCTGTACAGTGGCAAACTTTACTTTACCACGGTTCCTCAATTATTTCTCATTTCCCCTCCTAATCCACCCCATCCATCCCTTTTCCTTTTCCCAGAAAAAAAAGGGGAGAGTGAGGGAAAAGCGAGTCTGTAACCGAAATGTCGGTGCCGGAACCCTGGATCTACCGACCTACTCATACCGTACTGTGCCCTACAGTTTACCAGTGTATAATACGCGGAACCCTGCCAATGCATATTTCCGTCGCAAGTGCACCCCCCCCCCCACTCCACCCATCCATCCATCAATCAATCAAAATCCCATGACCGAAAATCCCCGCCGTGAGGACGACGCTGTGTTCAGTGAATTTCGCTTTTCAGCCGGGCGTCCATCCGTCCCATCCCCTCCCTCTTTCTCATCCCGTGGGTTTGTTGCGTCGTGTAATAGTGTGAATATGGGGGGATTTTTTTTTTCTCTTCGTATCTCCGCTGGACTTACTTGCGTCCTAACTAACTGGCTAATTAACCAACCAACTAACTCCGGCTGTGTCTTCCATCCTTAGACCGTGCCGTTAAAACGAGTGACGTGATAAGTTGTGCGGTGGTTAGGGTATGGTATGGTATGGTATGTTGGTATTTGCTAGGCTTCCGGATGGGTAAGTGTGGTCAGTAGCTGGCTTTGTAAAAAAAAATAATAATTCTGGCTGAGGATCGGTTATTTGCCGTGGAGTGCGGTGCTGTGCTGTGGTTCTTTGTGTGTATAATACCGATAGCTTGACGGTGGAAAGGGGGGGATATATTGATTTGATCTGGGTTGGTCGGTTGGTGCTTGGTGGCAGGTTTCTGGTATTCGTTTTGCTTGCTCGAATGGGGGAACTTTGTCTGCCCGTTTTGTGGTGGTCTGAGCTTCGGAGTGTGAGTGCCATACTCGTTCCGTGGTGGTGGGTCATCATCATAATAGTAGTAGTAGGTCCCAGACACATGTTCTCACTCGTTTGGTTTGGTGGGTTCGCTTGGATTTTCGTAGGGTGTGGATGCCATGCTAGACTTGGGCTTTCATACTTGCGGTGTGAAATACACACTCTTTGCATTTTTTACTTTTGTACAGAATAAGGGGTTTAGAAGAGGGAGAGGGAACAATAATATGATGCCCAAAAGGTCAGAAGGTTGGAAAGCGATTGGATGGGGAATACTTGTACAGAAGCAAGACAAGGTCACTTCACAACCAACCCTACCCATCATTTCCCCTTCTGACGCTTGCAAAAAAAAAATTCTTCTTTTACACCTCTAGAGTATCATACCAGGAAGAAATCCACTGCTCTGGGAATATATCTCCCCTCCAAATGACCCAGCGCCTTAACCGTTAGATACCTCCCCACCCCCCACCCTCAAAGGGAGAGAAAAGAAGACAAGAGAGCAGGAACTCACGGTTCAACAACCCAGATCAACGGAGCAAAAGCTTTTTGACAAAAGGGGACATTAGAGAACATTCAAAAGTCAAGTAACGATTTGGAAAAGGAAAAAGCAAAAAAAAAAACCCACCCTGCTCTCACTGCTAAACCTCCTCTCGCTTGGGATTCCTTTCGCGTCGTTATTGCGGGAGCTACCGCCCGTAGATTTACCGGAACAATATGAGAAGTAGGATTTTCATTTGCGCGAAGGGCATGCGCGGATGATTGGCAATGCATTCCTCTTCTCGTCTGGGACTGGTGCCTGGGGCCATCGTACCTGGCTATAATCAAGGATGGGAGTGGAGGGGTTCAGATAAACCTTTCTCTCTTTTTCTCTTTTTTTTTTTGCAAGAGCCGGAGTGAGTCTGGGAGCTAGCAGGGTGTGCTATAACGAACGTCTGAGGGTCTCTATTAGAATTGGAGCTGATATACTCGATGGGTTGTGGGTCCCCAGGTGTGTATCATAGCTAGGGAAGAGGTTGCTCGTGAGTGGACCGCGAGTGATTTTTCGTGAGTTCTGGTTGATCATGGGACGGTTTTATAGAAATTGTCTGTTGGTGTACAGTAAGCTGGTGGGCTTTTGGCCCCCCCGCCATGGTCACGATATTGACACCTCCTCTTTTTTTTCGTGGATGTCGACATTGCCTGCGGAGGGTTTATCCTGCTGAAAATGGTCCCTGGAGTCTGTGGGTGCGTGTTCGTGATCCGGGCTCGAAAATCTCCTTCCATCTCGTTTAGGGTGCTGGAACGTTGTGGAAATGATTCACCACCTTGGCGCAAGTCATCGGGAGTTGATTCTGCTAGGGGGTGCACTGTAAGATAGTGACCGAATTAGGCTTGGATACAGGATGGGAACTCGGACGTGAGACTCGGATAGTATTACATGCTGTCCCATAACCCACCGAAGCTTGCAAATTGCTTTTCTCAGAATTGAGAGCTGCTCGGGATTGTACAGGTCATGTTTCAATCAATGCCGAGACCACAGTGGGTTGGGGGGAAAGATTGGTTGATCAACTTGAAGAGGAGGGGGGAAGAGATACTCTAAAGCAAAGGAGAAGAAACCCACACTGTTTAGTGAATCGAAGAGTGACTGCAGATCCGTGCGCAAGGAAGGGAGGAAAGAAGGAAAGGCCTACGCTTTTCTAAACTGGTATACCTAGCACCGTATAGATCGTACAGCGGGTGATAGTGAATCTACATTCTGATGAGTGGATGGACTGGCCATCGTGCCCAGAATCCCGTGAATTGGGTTGGGTCTGACTTGGATTAGCTCGAAGGCGAATCTGGTAATTATCTTGTGCAAGAGCGTAAGTGTTGATTGTATATTTAGTACTGGTAGATGTCCAGCCACATCACCCAATACGATAAAGTGTATTAGAGCCGTGATTGAGCTTTATGTTCCGGCACGGGAAATGCTTAGTTGACAGGAGAAATATGAGAGGTTATGGATGGTTCCGGAAGTGACGGGAGCGTGGTGGATCATTTAGGGATGCTGTGAATTGTCCTGTAGGTTTAGTGGTGTATGGAGAAGTTTTTCTTGTTATCATGGGAGTGTATGGGGGAAGAGAGATATGCATGGCGGTCTATAGAAGGATAGGAAGGATTTCGTTCTGGTTTACATATTGGATCGGGAAGTGGGCTAGTGGTTCTCAGAAGTGAATGGCGAAATTATACCGAAAAATCCACAATTTGGAAATCTCAGTTGAAGTCCAACGGCACAAAGAAGAAATTCAGAAGAGTAGGAGATATTCCTGACAGCACAGTATACTGGACATTCCCTCTTCTCTGCTCAATTTATCTGGTTTCAATTTTGGCGAAGATTCCTGGTTGAGGGATTGAGCAAAATTCGCATGCAAAATGATTCACTTCTACCTCTGACACTCTTCCCGGTACAATATGTTAGTTTAGAGATAGGGGAGGGGGGCGAGCAAGACAACCAAGTTTCTGGTCATATCATACCTCTTTCACACAGTCGAGGTCTAACGCTGTTCCTCCCACAATGCCGCTGAACTATTTGTTAGCTGACCTATAGACGCTCGAACCTCTCATCGTGACATTCTGGACTCGGAGTGAGCGAGGAGAGGAAAGTTACAGATCATCTCACCTCACCGGATACCCCACTGAACACTTGTAAAAACAGCTCTTGGCGGTGACGAATGAAAGAGGAGGGGACGCGATTGAGTAGAAACAGCTGAGGCATAAATTTCCAGGCGGGGGGGGCAGTGCAGCGCAGTACGGCGCGGTAGGCCATAGTCTACACATTACATTAGAGGGCCTCGCGTTCGTGCACCCTTGCGCTCTTGCTGTGTTCCAGTTTTGGTCTAGCTAGAGTGTGTCTGTACAGTATTGTACCGTTTCCGGAGCAGTAAAAAATAGCATCGTGGGACTCCCTATTGTTGTACGATAGGAATTTGTTGGGGGCTTTTTTTGCGCTATTATTTGGCTTTGATTTATTGGAGCCATTGGGATTTATAGATGCTCCGGGACTCGCTTTGGGATTATCATACAAGGTTTCGCTCCGGGGGTTAGGTTGGGTCTGAAGGAGGATAGAGAGTGGGGCTTGGAGTTGGAATAGTTAAATTTATTCCTTCCCGCAATCAGAATCGTTCGCGTTGGCAGGTCTGATATGAATGGGGTTTTCGGTTCCCTGGAACTCTGCGCCTGAGACGGGGCACCGGGCTAGAATTTGAGTGTGGTTTTCGGGTATTATTTGTTGGATGGGTAGGCTTTCCTGTCCGAGTGATGCAATGTGTATAGGATGTAAACTCTATAGATCGGCGCCCAGGAGGCTCAAGTTTAGGGGGGAGGTGATAAATAGCGCAGCGGCATAGAGAGCGGAATGAAATGCAGCTCGACAGTTATGGAGTGTCCGTAGGAAAGGTATGGTTATAACTTCCTTCTTAATCTACCACCTTTTAAACTAACTCTAACGACGGTTTTTTTATATGAATCGTGATAATAGAGAGTTTGCGCAGTGAGGCCTAGGTGGTGTTAATTAAGTTAACAACAA